CCAACACCTACCGCACCTCAATGGGGAAAAGGAGTTGTGGTGAGCAAGTTGTGCATTGGGAGGCCAAGGGAGATGGGAATGTGGAATCTAGAGAAATTTTTACACGGATTTGCTCAGTAAACGTTATCGTTTTGGAGATTTGAAGATAGTGGTGGAGGCGGAAGTGCAGCATGGGCGGAAACGTTTCGTTTTCGACGTCGGCGGTGATCGACGAAGTGGAGCATTAATTTGAGTGCGCCTGTGATGTGGCGTCGCATTTTGTGAAAATCGATAAAACACCCCAAGAAGTATGCAGAGCTAACAAGAAAGATAAGCCACACCACTTGGAGGCGGTAATCACTGGGTCGCGTTAGCAATTGGGTGGGGACAGGGCCGAAAAAATCCTCGCGGCGCAATTCCAGCGGATTCTGTGGGATCTGACCTAAAAATTGAAGTTATAATTTTGTTAATTGAAAAATGCGGACGATTACGGCTATACAAATTATAAAGCAATTTACGATAATCGGTGTTTGTATTTTTATCAAAAATATTTTCGTCCGAACTTTGATAAGTCTTATGAGAATACGTAAAATATTTGCCAAAGCCATATGTCAAGCTCACAAAAATGTAGGGTTGACATAATTGCTTAATGGGGGAATTGATAACGTATGTTGTCTTTTAATATTTGGCGGATTGTGTTAAGCTTTACACCTCTTTTGACGAATTGACCAAATATCCTAGTACATCAGACTATTTAACCACCGTTCAGATCAGGGTAAGTAGACCCTTCTTCGTTAATAGCAAGCTTTAGTGGAAAATTACTTTTCAAAACAAACCCATAGAAACTTTTGCTACCTTATAATTCTACTATTGTAAGGATCAATAAAATAATCAATTTGCCTCTGGCAACTTTCAATGTCAATGATAATGATATGTACTTAGATCTATTGATGTAATGAACCTAAATCAAAGACGTGTCAAAAGGTCGTGTTTATAAGCTAGCTTAATAATTGTCTGTAAATGGCACCATATATTGTTTGCGTTATCAAAATGCCGAGCGACTATGACGTTCGGTGAAACTTGACGAAGCAAATCTAGGACGTCACTAAAGAGGCAACAAAGCATCCATAGAAATATTTGAAAGAGAAGGATGTTTACTAACGTAGATTCTGCCAAATAAAATCAGCCAACTGATCAAGATCCGTCTCAGTGCCATTGAACTCCTTATACACATGGTCGCCAACAAAAATCTTGATTTTGGGTATGTAGAAGACACGCAGGCTCCATCGGAATTCCAGGTACTCGTCCACATCGATAGCTATCACAGGAAGTTGGGGGAAGGCTCGTGCGATCGCATTGATGTAAGGCGCAGCGCGCATAGAGAAGGGGCACCATTGGGCGAAAATGAAGACTAAGTTACAAGGACTGTCGATAAGGCGCGCAGAGGACTTGTTCTTTACGAAGATATAGTTGCCACGAAGGTGAGAAAAGAATGGATTAAGCAGGGAGAAGAGGCGCAAGTTGTGGCGATATGGGGGCGCTGTGCCACTGAAAATCCCGTAGGGAGAAGCGGAAGATGAATGGCTGGCTCCGACGGCTGTACCAAATTCGTGACCCAGAACAACCCTTGCGCGACTTCGAGTATAGTTCCAGTAATTTACTGGGCGAAGATGACAGCGAGTAATAATCTTTTCTCCACTCTCGGAGTGGTCAACATCCTTCCGCCAACTCGAAGAAGCATTAAACCGCCGATCTTGACGAGACAGAAATGAAATATAAAATACCATTCGCAAGTTGTTAAGTAGCGGGGGAAAACAAAGTGCTAATAACATAACTAAAACACTGAGGTGGGGTACGAACCAATGCTGATCGACAGTGAAATGAGAAATAAGTACTCTTGAAAATTTGATTAAATAAAGGTCAATGCGTGAATCTTCTTATACTAAAATTACTTTAAATCAGACCCTTAGTAGCAGCTATGAAAGGGAACAACTCTAAGTGAACTTCCATCAGAAAGTACCAATAAAACCAAAAGCAAGAAGGCGTCCCAAAATGCTAAACAGAACAGAAGCACGAAACAATACACACCTCTTAATGAATTGATAAATGGAGTCCACGGATCTCCTGCATCGATTTGCGATTTCGAAGATGCGTTTGCTACATGCAATGAATCAAGTACTGACAGACCCACATACCCTCAGACTGAAGGCCCCCATCGGTTAAATTAAAACTTTCACTTTCAATTAAAGTGGACCTTCCTTCGTCAACAGAATCGGATACGGAAAGTAGCACATTTAGAATAAATCCAGCCGAAACGACACCTGCGAGCAGCATCACCCAGACTGCGAGACCGAAAAACAATGAGCCCTCCCAAATTGTTACCGGTTCAAACTACTGGATACAGTAAAAAAAACATACGGGATTATAACAGGATTCGATGTGCCTAACTATCAAAAAGTAATTTTTGCATTTGATTTACTTAAAAATCAATTTGGGATTCAATCACTATATCGTGGGATAAAAATCATATATTATTGATTAACACATTTTTGAAATATTAATGGATGCACCACAATGAGTTAATGTAGCATCCTACAACTTTCTAATGGGTGGAAAACGTAGAAAGTGATGTAATGCTTTGTTTATGTGACTACCTGACGTTTGAACGTTACTTTTTCTGCCCCGTCATCTTCTTTATACATGCATTCAACCTAACTTATGCTTCATTCCACCCTATGGAAAGCCTTGAGACGCCACAATGCTGGCAACGACATTTTTTAAACGACTTTTAGCCGAAGTGGGATCCCTCTGCGGACTTTTCTTCGTTGATCGCTTATTAAAAGCAACATTGCTTCCGGGAAAATCTATTGCCCAACAGACACCGCTGTCTTACTGACATTTTTACGTTTGTGTTGCCAAACTTTGCCAATTCATGGACTGATTTCCGAAAAAGAACAGTACGAACAAGCCGAAGAGAAATGGTTCGATCGGAGGGTACACTGGTTTAATACAAGCAGAAACTCTAAAATCGGGTCCTTCTGGCCGGAAAAGTCAAAACCTCTCTTTTCGCGACAAGGAGGATGTAATCCAACCAGCAGACAAGACTGTAAAGTAAGTCTATCTTTTAGTGGGGTAATCCAAGATTAAGAAGCGCATTTTGGCGTAGTGCACCTGCAAACATGAGCTACATATGCGTAGAAGGAAGTCTGACTCTATCGAAGTGCAGTAGATGAAGACACAAGCGTAAAGAGGACGTGAATTGAATGAGGAGCATTTTCCTTGGTGACGGAGAATCTTTGAATCATTCACAACGAAAGGATTCGGCTTGGGGCCTAAATTTGATTTTATCTTATTCAATGGTCCACAGACAAACTATTAATAACTGAAGCGACACCGCCCTAATCTATCTGGAAAAGTTTCGTGTCAGAATTTCCCATACAAAATCCGTGATTAGCTGTCGGAAATGACACCATGGTTCCTTTTACATGTGAGACAGTGGCGCATCCCTTTTTCCTTGTAATATATATGTAGTAGACCAGAGTTGCACCGTCTAGACGTGAAAGCAATTGATGGTCGACAGGGGTATGCGGCCCCGAATATGGTCGTCGGACCGAACGTAACTCCGGATCCATTTGAACATGCCCAGGAGATTGAGTACGTTTCCGCAGTTTCATGATAGCTCTCAAATGGTGCGGTTGGCTCGTGTGTGCTTTCTTGTTGCACCGAATATGTTGTGCTGGCTGGCTCGGGAAGTGCACCAAGGGGAGCGCCGAGGATGTCGCTCAAAAGAAGAGAGAGCGGTGTAATGCTTTGTTTATGTGACTAACTGACGTTTGGCGATTTCTTTAGAATTTGTCTGGGCCCTGTAAATGTGGGCTGGACTTCGGGCTACGCCCAGACCCAAGTGCATCCAGCTGCACTTACTGACTTCTTAAACCAAATAGGAAATCTCGGAAAGCTTCAGTTATGACCAGCAACTAAACATAAACCGAATGTGTGGCATCCGACGGAGGACAGTCTCACCGGTGCAGGTTTGTATATGCGGAACTCCGAGACCTCCTGCTGGATTAAAGCAAGCACTAATTTGGCTTGAGATCCAGCTTCCAGGGCAAGAAGTATAAGAACAGTATCCGCCAGATATCGGATGGTCACACAAACAAAATGTTGCCATAATACGTGATGCTAATTTCGACTTTTTTCCAGAGTGGAGGCTGTTTAAAAATGCAAACCTTGTTTGACCAACTCGATGATTATTCCGCAAAAATTAGTGTCGGACCGCCGTTTTAACCATATTCCAAACCCTTACACCCAATTATATAGCCAGAGGTTGAGGATCCAGAGGATAGACCATAGGCTACTATAATCCACAAAATTGTTCCAACTTCCAAGTGCATTCCATTTTGCAGTATGCACAAAGAATCGTTCGCCATTTTAACTGCAATAAATTTTATAATGTCGTTTTATTTCAACAGAACTGAACTTTTATGCATAATTTATTCATTATAACTGTCGTTTAAAATGATCGAAGACGTGTGTACGCCCTCATTCTCTTATCTCCAACTTTGTTATGAGTCTTTGCCCTTTCGGTAACTGTCCCTTACCTCTGGTTTTGATTGATGTTTAGGTCACGAGGAAAATGGGGCCTTCTGGTGGAGCGGTAATATTCGCTTTTTAACTTCACCACAGATTTTTAACTTAGGTCTTCGGGTCCCCAAATTTTGATGATTCCAGCGATTCCTGGTTGGGCACTCTTGAACTATCTGCTCTTGTTAGCAATCAGCATTCTTCGCATCAGATCTCTTTGTCTTCTCCCAGACCCAATGTTCGACTTTCAGGGAGTCATGTGTTCTCCTCAGATTGCAAAGAGTTAATGTCTTTTAGGGAACGTCTCTTATTGCAGCTACATATGAACTCTGCTTCAGATACATTTGATCGTCGTACACTAGCGAAAGAAAGTTCACCATCAACAGAAAGTCAGATTAAATTGGCCAGTCAGTTTTATAAAAATAAGACTGCTTGCTGTCTTTCAATGGTTGGCTTACCGACTCGAGTGATGGAGCTCCTCTCAGAACATCGAGGCATCACCGATCTCTATGGTACTTTAAAGTCACTCTGATTTCCAATGTTTCTAGACTGGCAAGTTGAATGCCTTTCCATGGCTTCAACGGCCAAAGGTTCGAATCTCATCTACAGTCTTCCGACTAGTGGTGGAAAAACTTTAGTTGCAGAAATTTTAACTCTGTCTGAAGTTCTTGTGGCCAAAAGGAATGTTCTTTTTATTCTCCCTTTTGTTTCAATTGTTCAGGAGAAGGTATGGCTTAAATAGGTTGAGGTGATGTTCGCATATTTTCAGGTGAATGATCTTACTCCACTGGGTTTAGAGCTAGACTTTCTCGTTGAGGAGTACGCTAGCAGCAAGGGACGAGTACCTCCGACGAAGCGGTTGAAGTCCTCTGTCTACGTGGCTACTATTGAGAAGGCTCAAAGCATTGTTAATAGCTTGATAGATCTCAGTAGACTTAATGAATTGGGACTGGTGATTGTTGATGAGGTAGTTTGATCGATAAGAACTTTTTCATCTCTTTCGAACAGCTCCATATGATTGGCGAAGGTGGCGCTCGGGGCGCCGCTTTAGAAGCAATCATAACGAAATTGAAGATCGTTTCTCGTAGGTTTTATGCTTGCTGACAGTACTTTTCGTAGCGGGTACGCGCATTGTTGGGATGAGCGCAACTCTCTCCAATCTCTCTGAGCTGACTGCATTTCTCAATGCCAAATTGTACACAAGCAACTTTAGACCAGTGGATTTAGTAGAGTATGTAAAAGTGGAGGATCACGTGTTCCGAATCCTTTCATCTCCCATGTCGGAGCGCTCTTCCCTTTCTGAGCGTCTAAAGCACGAAAGAGTTGTTAATTTTAAGGTGTGTTCACTACATTCTGCGTGATTTAACCTGTCTTTTCAGTACTCAGAAGAGGTGAAAAGGCGGGATCCCGACCACTTGGTAGGCCTTGTTGCTGAAGTCCTCATGGCTTCAACAGAAAATTCCTCTCGTTCTCCCTCCTGTCTAGTCTTTTGTCCCACTAAAGCACATTGTGAGAACACTGCTCTTCTGCTTGCTGAGCTTTTGCCCCCACAGATCGATGACACGGCGGAGGAGGAGACACAAAATCGGAGGCATCAACTTCTCACCAATTTGCGCCTTGATGCCCAACGTGAAGAAAATGTGGATGATTTAGAGAGCTGTTGTCCTGTTTTGGAGGTTACGGTACCCCGCGGTGTTGCATATCACCATTCTGGACTGATTCAGGAAGAAAGACGGGCGCTTGAAGAAGCATTCCTCGAAGGCGACACTATACGAGTGATTTGTTGTACCTCTACTCTCGCAGCTGGGGTGAATCTACCTGCTAGAAGGTAATGCAGATAAAAGTATCATTTGGTCAATGGACTTGTATGTGATGAATTCTCACTCCGTTAGAGTTATTATTCGCAAGCCCTACGTGGGATCAGCTTTCCTAAGTTGGAGTCAGTACAAGCAGATGGTTGGGCGAGCGGGACGTACGGGGTTGGATAGCTGTGGGGAGAGCATCATTATCCTGCAGCCAAGTGAGCGTGAGGCATTTGGTCGTCTCATGGACGCCGCTTTTTCTGCAGCCAGCGAGAGTGGAGGCGGTCTCTGTTTCAGCAGTCTTCTCTACGACAAAGGAAAGGGACTCAGGCAACTAATATTATCTCTCTTGGGTCTTGGGGTGAGCTGCTGTCTTTCTGAGCGAAAGCACGCTTCAACGATACATTTCTTGTTGAATAAGTAATGTATGCTGAGAGGTGCAATGGTTGAATGCCCGAAAGAATTTAAGCTGCCGACATTTGACAAATTTATTTGTTAGCCATTTCGCTTTGCTAATACTTTTAGTTTGGCTACTGCTTTTCAAACCTATGATGTAGAAATTACTCGATAATGACGTCGGTTTCCGTTTTTCACCTGTGATTCTGGCAGACTCACAGCAAATGCAGCATAGATTGAAACCCGCCCTTAATTGTCTTGCAGTTTTTAACTTGTTCTCGGTGAGGCCCTATCATTGTAACGGTTTTGAAGGCTATATTAGCAGATATCACTTATTGAGCTTAACTGCCTAGTTTATATCAAGCGTTCTATTTTTGGAAATTTCATGTAGTTGGCTTCCGTCTTGGTCTGGCAGCAGTTACTCTATAAGTGTATCAAATGGACGAACTATTAGTGTCTTAAGTGAGCCAAGACGAGTCCTATGTTATCATTATCAACCTAAACCTACTATCCTTCAAGTTAGCCAAGAGCTTGAAGGATCTCTTGGTCTGCGTGGAACAAACCTTCTTTGCTGTACAATCAGCAAATCGGGCTGCGAATGGATGTGATGGGTCGACTCGTGTGGCCGAGGCAGTGCGGGAGCAACTGCAGCACCTTCTACGTGGCAAGCTGATAAGTCTAGCTACACCTTTAGAAACCTCGCCGTTGCTCACTAAATCTCCTCGCATTCCGCCTCCCCTTGGCTCGCCCAACCGTATCTTCCGCGTGCTGGGCGCCTCCACCCCTCCAGAGGAGATAGAACTTAAGGTAGGTGGGTGGTGTAAATAGTTCCCATGATTTCAGTCACAAGTTGGGTAACCGGTAAGCAATTACAAAACTACTTTCTGTAATTGTTATGAAGGACATGGAAAATGCTAATCAGAGTTTATTTGTCTTTTAATAGGTGTTGTATCCTTTCTCTTAGTGGCCGCCATTTTTGGTTTTCCTTTTAGCCAGTTTGATCTTTTGAAAGCCTGCTTCTGAGTTCTGTTGAAATGCATGAATGTCGTCAGTTTAAGCATGGGAGGTGTAATGCACCTATTAAACTCTAGTTCTGGCTATTTTTTTTTTACTGCGCTTTACAATATTTATACTTGTTGCTTTGATACATGTTGTCATTTATGGTAACCGATCTGCCGTTTTAAGGACAATACGCCTCACATAACCTTACTGGATATTCTGTTGGTACATGATCTTCGCCCATCTATCTTCTAAATTTTTGACCATCACAGTGGTTCTGTGAAGGAATATGCGCCTATTTTTGTCATCGACTTCCGGTTAATATATGGCCTACAACTAACTTACAACAGTGCCGTTGAAATTGAGAGTTCTTGTATCGAAAATGCATACCTTGCCCAACCTAGGAGCAGACCAAACCTAGACGCAACCCATCAAAGGGAATGCTTAGTCATGCAACGTGTCTCAGTAAAGTAGTTTTGCTACGTTATTATTTATTCGCTTATCTGTTAGAACACCAGCGTCGATCTGTTGTTTTCCTGTGTTTAACACTGCTGCAAAACAATCAGGTGATCCCCGAATATTGAATGGTACCTTTCAGAGAGCCTTACTTGACAATGGACTCGTCATTTCGCCTTTCATTACCCTTTTGCATCTTTAAATCTTTCGGGAGATTACTTTTGTGGATTAGTGCCCTCTGCATTAGCTGGCAAAGTCGCTTCAAGCTATAATTCTAATGGAAAAATGACTCAAGATAATTCCACTACTTCAAAGCCACATATGCGCGTCTCCAGTTGTTAACTCACTCTCCTGTTGAATTATTCTACGGTCCCTGCACAAAAGACAGGTCAACTGGGCCGCGCAGCCATTCGCGGAGGTCTTGACTCGGACCACATCGCAGGCCTGATTGAGGACCTTCGCCGCGCTGCACGTGCTCTTAATACCGCCGGACCACTGCACCTCCTCTACCTCGTCATCCCGCGCTCTTTTACCAACCTGCAACCAATTCACCAGCAGCAACAGTCGACGTCTCTTACGTCTACTGCGACACCCTTCTCCATGGACTGGGGTGTCCTCTTCGAGCGTGTCAGCTGGCTACCGCCAGAGGAAGCCAACATTGTTAGTCTCATTGGTTTCTCCGACTCATATCTGGCCAGAAAGGCTGCTGGGCATCCCATTAAAAAGGCAAGTCTTCTTTAGGTGTCATTGTCGAATGGTGCGTTACTATTTTGCGCTTAAAGCAATGGACAGTTTCGAAGACTTTTCATTGTGATCGCATTTCCCTTCGCAAAAATCATAATTTTTTTTGTAAGTGGGAGTCGAGTATTTGTTCTGTAAACGTACCTACTTGGTAGGTTCAAAAGAACATTCAAGCCGTCGTCAGTGTTCCACTTCGCAGAGTCGCATTTTTTAACGATAAAGCTTAATCTCATTTGATCATTCCACTAATTGCGTTTTTACTGTCATTTCTATGTCTACCTTCTAATGAACTCAATCGCTTGTTCGGTAAATCACGTTTTTACATACGTGCATGTTACTTCCAAAACGATTCTTCTAATGTAGCCGATCCCAAGGTTCTATTTACACTTATTCCACAACTTCTGTGTGATCCCTTTTTGGAGGAGAGGAGGGCGGAGAAATTGAAGTGATACATCTCCAACTCAATGGTTTCACGACTCCTAATCCTACCTCCCATATAGAAGCAAGACGAGGGTCCGTTATATCGCCTCTACCTGGCCTTAGCTCTTTCTGAGCTCTGGCCCCCTCGCTGTGAGACCATATGGCGAACTGCGCGTCGCTACGGTTTGTCACGTGGTGCTCTACAGAGTCTAGTCCAATCGGCAGCCGGCCTGGCTGTTGGCCTAGCAAATGCTGTTGCTGCTGAGTACTCTCGCGATCCCGAGTTGTGGGCCTTCGCTCATCTCCTCCCTGACTTCTCAACCCGTCTTGCATACTGCGTCTCCTCTGAGCTCATTCCCCTCATGCAGCTTCCCGGGGTTAAGAAGGTTCGTTCGCCTATTCCTACATACCTATTACCTTGCTTGTTGAGCAATTACCGATTGTTACAGGCGAGGGCCCGTCAGCTGTTTGCGGCAGGGTTCAAGACGGTGGCAGAAGTAGCAGCAGCAGAACCAGGACAGCTAGTGCTTGCCTTGGCGCCTTTTCTCTCTCGGCGCGCGGCTAAAGAAATTGTCCAGTCGGCACGAATGACTCTTGTCGACAGAGTGGAGTCGCTGAACAAGGAGGCTGCAGAGATCGCTCAACTTTTTACTTCCTCTGTCGACACAGTTGCCACTTCCACCTCGAATGATGAGGCCGAAGGGGAGGATGTGGATCTATTCACTTAGCTTTCACTGTCTCACTGTGTTCGATTTCCTATTTTTATATTTTATCTTTGTGAATTACATCCTGATTCTCTGAAATACATACATGAAAAGGAAGTTTCCTGGACTTCAACAGATGCAGTTCTTTGTTTCAGAGACTAACATCAAAGTTAACAGGATCAATCACAATACGTACCTACTTCTGAGCATCTGAAAGAGGTGTGCAAGAGACCCCCATGATCAAAAGTATAGTCTTGGCTATGGCAGCCATGGCTGCGCCGGAGCCATGTATAGTTAGATCAACCTTAGCATAAAGCTGTCCTCTCAGAGCTCGTCAGCGCGATGCCGGTCTAACAACAGGTCGGAGGGTGACTGCCAATCAAATAAACAGAAGAGACGAATGAGACACTACTGATCGCATCTCCAGGGGCTGTTTATCAAGGTAATCAACAGTCAGATAGTCGGGTTGTAGCAACAAAAAGTGACTGGACCGACATGTGCGGTTAGGTCAGATATTAGGCCCCGCTTTGGCCCTACGCAGCTATCTGACAGGAATGAGAAGGGGAGCATGATGTGCACAAACATTTATTTGATGTAAACTAGACTGAAGTAGTCAGTGAGATAGGCGCATGAACAAACTACCGCTTGATATCTGCGTCCCAGTTATGTTTTGAACCGGGAGTAAAGTCGGTAAAGAGTGGACTGGCTGCAGCATGGCTAGGAGGAGAGTACCAACCGATTTAACGACTTCAAATAGCATGAAAGGTGGAGAAAAATGTAATCAGAACCGACCTTCCTCCTTCCGTAATTTGTTTCGGCCCAGCATTAAAAACTTGTACAGGTGGGCCGCATTGGCGGCGAACGTCACGGGTATAGTAATAATTTTCAGACATTTTGTGCGCTACACCCGGGGGCAGGTTAGGTGGAGGTTGGGTACGCCGTGCCATAAGGTCTTCATAACGCTGAGCGTTGTTGTATTTGCGCTACAAGGCGATAAAAGCAGAAATAAATGCGCAACTACCATTAGAAAAAAATCCCTGAACCACTCCATAAATGGAGTGAGCCTAGTCCTAGCCCCCGAAGTCATTTGATGCAAGAGCAACGAAATCAAGTTTACCGCCGCAATAATGCAAAATACTCGCACAAGCGCACATTTTCGTCAAAATTTTACTTATTATTTATTTTTACAGCACTTTAAACGGCTAGTAAAACGATTTAAGTTAATATAAAAACATTAATAAATTTAATTAGTTTTGGCTAAATACACAAAAAACAAATAAGCAATTTTTAAAAAATTGTTTTATTTTATTTGCGTGAGCCTCCTTCGTGGTGTTTAGTTGAGCCGATAGTCCGTTGTGAGCCTGTTGGTTATAATCAGCGATGAATATACTGCCGAAGAAAAGGTCTGCTTTCATCACATCGTTTACCTTTCAGGTGGCATGTGAAAAACAAGGATAATGCTGCTCGTGTAGAAGCTGATGAGACGCTTTTTCGGAAGAAAAAGAATGACTTAGCCGTCCGAAGCTTAGTAGCTGTAATATGTCTTCTGGTCTGTGTAATCGGTCTAGACGCAAGAGGCTAGAGTGGATTATCTTAGGAAAAGAGCTCATGATGCCAAACCTCCCGAAGACTCGATTCTTAATGCGCAGGACGTCCTGCACTTGTTCGCAGATATTGAAGGAAATGTGTGTTATGCCATCCATTACTTATCTTTAGCGCAACCTTTATGCTTCAAACAAAGAGTATGAAGAGGAGTTAAAGAAGGAGAAGGAAACGCACGAGAAAAAGCTCGGAATTCTCAAATATCTTGTTGAGTCCGATGGCAACCTTGCTAAAGTAAAACCTTGGTGGTCTGAGGTTCCTAAACGTGGTAAAGAAAAGAAGCTACTTGGAACCCTCTTAGAGTTTGTTCAGAATCTACAGTTCACTTTGTCTTAGTTCAGATGAAATAGAAGTCCAGCAGAAGCAACGCTCCGATCCTCTCTTCCAGATGAAAAAAGTTGAAGCAGAATTTGCACGCATTCGTGAGGTAAAGCAGACTAATGAAGCTAAAGAACGTGCCGCTGCCGCTAAAATTATGTCGTCTTGTTCTCTCTTCCCGGATGACATTAAAACTCCTGGCGTATGATTTGTTTCGTTTTATTTGTCCATTACCCAATATCGACATTTTGACGTCTTACCTTATTGTCACATTCAGTCCAAACGCTTATGCGAAGATCGAGATGATCCGCGAAGAGCTGCAGATGTGAAGTCTGCAAAGAAGGAGAGGTTGGAGATTCTCCGCGCGGAACGTTTAGTTCGTGAGCGTGCTGAACGTGATCGAGCAGCATTGGTGCTGTGCAGATCGATGGGTCTTTTGACGGCAGCCAAGGCGGTAGTAGCGAAAAATGAAGAGACGGTGGTAGTGGATGAGCGGCATTTGCCATTCAATTCAGCCTTCAATCCTGAGCTCTCTACTCTGGCAGCAGAGCGACGGAACGCCCATCGTTTCGAGGTGCACCGGAAGCAAAGATCGTTTAAGTGAACACTTTGTTTCGCCCTCTGTTTGTACATAGATTCACACGCCTCATTTCTATATAACGTGTATCGTTATTCCCTTGATTTTGTTCCTCATCTGTTGATTATTCTTCACCAAATATTAGGAATTCTGGGTTTTATTGTAACTTAGCAGCAGCTCACTTGTTTTATTTGAGCCGTCTTCATCTGGCACCTTGTCAACGCCTCAATCGTTTTGTGTTTAGAGATGCCCTTCGCACTTACTCATTCTTCCATGTGCGTGTTAATCATAAAATCCAGTTTGACAAATCATTTCCTACGCTTGTTATTCTTTCATTTTGGTTAAAAGGACTCGCTTGGTATCTTGGCATGGAGCTTTGTCATCAGCGCGTTTTGTTAGTGCATTCGAAAACGACTCCAGAGCTGTCGTTGTTTCTCTCCGTTCATAGATATTATCCTAGTAATAGACTGAATAGTGTGCATCTTTTTGTCGGGTTTGACTACTTTATTTAGTTGATATGAATCTTCAAATCATATTTTTTGTGGTCTAATCGTTTGTTTTCCTTCCTTGCGAACGATGTCTTGTTGATTCGTCTTACTTGACAAGGGCAACCTTTCGTTCATATTAACTACTCAGAATTGGGCTTTATTGTTAATTGCTTCATCACTGCTTCCTTTGGTGGGCTTGTACTGTCTTGAGTTAATTATCTTTCGCTTTAAATACTCCTTTTAGACTTAAAATAACACTTGTTAGTGCAAGGGAGGGAGCTTGAGGTGTGAGTCCACTGCTCGTCTGAAAAAAACTCCAGCTGTGTAAGTGGATTACTATTGAGGGTATGCGAGGTTGAACCAATTGTGGTCGGTACTATTGCAGGTCTAGACTTCATTGTCATAATGCTCACGTATAGTTCAAGTCATACAAAGCAATACAGTCGCATTCAATAATGGCATTCTAGGTGCGTATTTCGTTTTCATATCATTGGAGATTTTACTGCTCAAATTTGGAAACGAATGCATAACAGTGAGATGAGTTTGAGTATTTTTTGCGATGGTTTATGTTTCGAAGGTTTGCGTCAACATCAGAGATCTTTGCACTCTGTAAGAGGCGGAGTTAAGCGCTGCAGCAGCAGGCATGGACTGGAGTAATCTCTATCATTTGTCTGCTTGAGATGTTTTGCTTCGGCGGGTTGGGTGTCTTTCATGTCAAAGAAGGTGTACGGCGAATTATCCTACGGTTCGCTGCTGTCTGACTTTCATCTGAAAGCTTAATTCGGTTAAGTAGAGTTAATTGGGGATTTGACGAACTGTTTCAACATTAAACTGCGAACACCAATGGTTCGATCAAGCCAGTCCTATTTGCACCACTACTACTAGTACAGACCAAGCGAGGAATGAAGAGCTCTAAGCCCTTGAAGTGATTTTCTTCCTGTTCATGGGTAGCAGTGTCGATTTCTCATTCGCATCATTTGCGTACGTTCGAACACTGTTTTTATGCCATAACGCGCCGGTCTTAATTAGTCCTGAATACTTTGTCGTCGATTGAAAAGGAGTGTGCTGAAATAATTGCAGAGGTAAGTGTCTGCTCAATTTTGAATTAACCTTTATAAGCCTATATGGGTGCGTTAGGGAAGCAATATTTTCATTTTCAAAATAGTTTGATCTGGTTTCGGTCATGAGATTCTCACCCATTATTGCAACGAACTTTGTTTCCATCGTAACAAATTGATGTTCCGCAGTTGCAGATCTCAGGCGTCGAGCGAGTTTAGCTACTACACCTACACGGTTAGCTTTCAATCCTGAAAACTCGGGATGAACGCGATTATGCACCTATCACAAGAAGCCTCTTTGAAGTCATTGCTGATCGGCTGACCGGTGCAAGAAGTGGTAAGTGCGGTGGCCAAGAGTAGGGATTACCGCACATGGCGCCTCAATCGCGGTCATCGCCTTGGCCTTCATTTTATCTTATTTTCATCATTTCTAGGTGACTTATTAAGAATTTATATGTGGACCTCCAAAAGTTGATGCTTTGAATCACAGCTTAGGAAAGCATGAAGAGGTCAACAGCATCCCACTTTAGACACAGCAGAGTACCAGCAGGCGGTACTTCACGTCTGTCTTCGGTTGCGCATCTGTACTAGTATTGGTCCACCTGAACATCAGCCTCCGTGTAGGTTAAACACACTTATGCTATTTGGCCTTAGAAGTCTCGCGCCACTATAGTAGCTTGTAATAGTTGGGACAGTAGTATTACACTTAGACGAGGGCACTGACTTAGTTGTTGTTTCCCATTTCCGGGAAGAGGAGGACTCATGGGATTATTGTAGCAATCGTCTCGATCACTGACATTTTCATGTCACGATGCATTCAGGCAGACTTTTGCAGCGATACAAAAGCGGTGCATCTCCGTCCATCATCATTGGGCGTTAGCTAATTCACTAGTGATCTGGCAGCCATGGCAACCCCTGAACGTAAAGCATTAACAAAAAGACGAGGAACAGTCAGCTAGAATAAGTAAGGATTTAGGAGTTTAGAAACATAATGAACTCCTCGAATAAATTTTCCACTCAGATCTGCTAGTGTGGTGGTACAATTCACGTGTAATCTATCAACTCCAGGCAAAATGTATGAGACGATACGTTCACTTCACCAATCAAACAGGGTAAGTCATAGTCGAGGGCATTGTAAGCAAAGAACGAAATACATGGGGTTGATGGATGTTTTGGGAGAAAAGTCACCAGATTTTGACCTGTGATTAGGCGCTCAAGGTGTTTGAATAAAGAGATCCACTCGAATGCCGTCCTCGGGCGCTTCACACAGGCCCCTCGCGTTTCACCTTGAGGATTACCTATTGAATGCAAATCTGCTTACACATACCACAGCTTGAACAAACAATTTGAAGGTGGATTTAAGTCATCATGGATTCCATTTCGAACACATAAACAGGACTTGTGATTTCTCAAATAATTAAGGACTTGTAACTAGATTGGGGGCGGTCTGTTCAATGTGATTAGAGCATGTGGCTGACTGAAAATTGATGCGACCATAATGTGGGAGTGAGCGAATCGCCGAGTCTGTGGTGCAACGCAATATTTCCACTTTGTTTGTAAGGGCTTACCTTAGGTGACGACTTTGAGGGAACATTGTAGTAGGAGCCCGAGGAAGGTCCAAGCATTTGACTGCTGCGCACCTCCTAAAAGTACCACGCATTTTTCCATCAACTAACTGCCTCCACTATTACACCAACTACGCTGATTTTCAGTGCCTTTTTGCCATTAGGGGATAAGTAAAAAATGTTTCAAAGTCGTGGATTATTTCTATCAGTGGCCTCAGCTAATGCAAAAAAACTAACAACTTAAAATCTGAGCGACGAACGACATGGATGACTTCAAACTTTGCCATCATAGGCCACAACAAAACTCAGCTCAGGTGCGGCGCAAACCACGAGACGCATAAAAGTGTTTTAACTTCCTGGCATTGCCACGACCAAACTGCTAAATGTTGAACGCAAGGGGATTGGGAACGAGCGGCCACTAACACGCCTCGCCTTTACAAACATGCGAATCCACTCCCGATGTAAGAATTTCTAGATCTTTCCCGGCTATAACCAACCGGCCTAGCAGACACTCTTGAAAGACCCAAGTTCTCCTCGATTGTGTAATATCCGTAGCCAATTTCGTGTGTTACACGGAGCCGTTTGACTAGCCTGCATGGTGAGAGGACGTTGAGAAGATGTTGTCAACGAAGAACCTCAGCTGCATTCATATGATCAGTGCTTAAAAGGATGGCGGCTGATCCGTTTGTGTTTCAAGAATGCATTCCGGCTTCATAGCTCGACATCAAATGAAGCAATTTTTACCGTGAAGGAATTTCTTCAAAAAGCCTTGACACACGTAACCACAACTTTTCATCCAAAAAATTTAGTTTCTCAAGTGATCTTTTAACCATTTTCGCTTCGACAGCAACCATTCATCGTGAAAAAGTAATTTTGTTTTTGATTTGAGGACGATCAAGAGTCAGTAGTCTGTAAGATAGTGCACCTTTCTAACATCATTCCTTTCATACTAATCCAATGCATTTATTTAGTCAAAAAATGCTACTATTTGAAACCTTTTGAATGCATTTATGCTGTGTGCCCTTTACCTTCGCGATGTCATGGGGTCGAAAACAGTTTCAGTTGAACGTGCTCCTAAACCACGCCCACGATGCTGATAACTGCCCAGGTTGCAGTGACTGAACCACACTACTTTAGCCCACTTTGCCCTCCTTTTAGCCCTACCTCTCGGTCTCCCCCTTCCTCATCAGTCTCTCCACCGTTTTCACTAAAGTAGTCCCAAATCACTTCGTAGGAGCCCTCAACCTGAGATGCCCCTCCACCGCCACAATCATCGCTCGATTCGCTGATCCGCTTCACTCCACCGAATTCGATTATTGGCGGACTGGTTGGCTTATCCGACCCGCCAGGTCGAATACGCGGCGGCCATTGTATAGTGGGTTTGGGACCCAACCTGGGCGCAGGGTTGCCACGATTTGGAGTCGACAGTGTTGAACCTCCCTGTAGTGGTGGCGGTGGTGGTGGCGGTGGCGGCTGTAACGGTGGAGCTCCACGTCGACTCGGCGGTCTGCCTGCTCTGAATTCACCTCGATCTTCATCATCTGTGGCTAAAATGTTTAGCACACTCATTTTGATAAAGAGAATATGGCCCCCCGTATGGAACTCAAGTTAGCCAAATTTGGCAATTCACAAAATTTTAAATTTATCATGCAAAAATGTCTACTTTCAGGTAGCATTCATAAGGCCTTCCATAAAAACAGCGAGCAAGCCAAAGTTAGTCTGTGTATTGGCTGCTATCCTCTTTCTGATGTCAGAAGCCTGTGATTCCAAGTCCTAAAGATGGCAGCCTTTCCCAGACCTCCAATAAAGGTTGCTCTAATGGCTACCATGGGGAACTGCTGCTCTTCGAGGCTTGAAAAGGTAAGTTTGGCTAATAAACTCTACAAATACTTACCATTTCGACGAGCCCAAGTGGAAAAATCCTCATCGCGCGAAGGCTTGGACACGGGTGTCCCTAAAACGCAACATCCTCTCCATTTCATTGCACCCAGAAATAAAATAAGCAAATAAGGAGCCAGCAGAAAGAAAAGAAAACAAAATAGCACTGTTGCAAAGCTTGGAAACAAGAGGTAGGTGAACAAGTGTATTGAAACAGAGGTGACAAAATCAAAGAAAAATTGCGATGCTTACAACCGGAGCAGGGGGAACTCAGTTGATGACCTTAACACAAGAGAAATTCAGGCGTTGTGAGGCCCTCAAGCACCAATGGCGCATCGCCAATCATTAAAATGTCACGTTGGTAAACTGGTGAAAAGGAGCCGAAATCCCACAAATTATTTTTTTATGTTAACACCGAGGTCACCTCAACAACCAACCAACCAACGCCAGATTAAGTTCAAAACACCGATAGTATTGATGCAGACAGGAACCAAAATATGCATTTTGCCTCAAATTCATGGCATTAGCCGAGTGCTTATTGTGAACAAAATTTTAGCAGAATGTTTAAATTGTTGCAGCTCGTAAATTAGTTGAAGTGCATTGGCTTGAGGAACACTTTTTTGTTTGAGTGGCTGTAGCGATTGCGACCACTTGGATGACCAAATTGCCGGGCCATGCCGAATGCATACTCGCTTGCATTCTTGCCTGAGCATATGCACCCAGCCTACATACCCTGTCTTCTCTTAGCTGTAGAGGAATCTCAGAATTTTACGACATGAGCTGCTGAAAGGATAATCGTTCATGAACTCTTGATTAGATGCAGAGTTATATAGAAAAATGGTCTAACAATTGAGTGCCTTTAAAGTGTAGGTCACCGTTGCTAGGCGTCTGTTCCCACAATTACACTGTTGCTGAAAGATGGTGCTATTTATGCATGAAAATTTTTCGAAAAAACATGCTAAAAAATTGTCCAACGCGAGTTATTCCAGAAAATTTGGCGCTAATCTTCACTTAGCTAGCGGTATTTGTAATACATTTTCAAGTGGTCACCTGTGTAACTGAAGATTACTGTGGTATTTGTTTTGTTCTTGCACGCTTAGGCTCACCAATGGAACTATCCAAAGTCTGATCCCTTTTTCGCCTTCTTCAAGAATGCACACATCTAGACCTAATGGGAAGTCTCGGACCTCTACAGCCTGCTCTGTAAATGTCTGATTTTTCGAAGTTGAGGTAAGTTGCTGCTTCCCCAATACGTACCGCCTGATCCTGCGAACAATCATTCGAATGCTAACCCAAAAATCTAGCATCAGAGTAGCTACGATTTGGCTCAATTTCATGTTCATCTCCTTGTACCGAGATTTGGAAATTGAGTTGGTACCATTCAATTAAAGAACAATACCTATTTCAAACGTATATAAAGATTCCCCAGATTTTAATTCGTTCCTCGAAACTTCCTCATCATCCTCTTAAGGATGCTTGACAAGCAACAGCAATGCCGTCGACATCAATAAAATATGACTTGCAGCATTCCGGAGGCACTTTTTCAGTGATGCAGCAAAAGTCGGAGGAGTACATGAGTGAAAAAAGGCTGCTCAAGTAGGGCTGGGTTCCCGTAACAAATGTCTTCTACAAGCACGTCCTTTATAAATTGTTAAACATGAGCTGGATTTAACTGTAATCCCTCATTTTCCCCATTTCTCCCATGTAAACAATTTACACGGTATCATACGAACTCACCTTTTTTCATCCCGAATAGGGCCTGTGAGTTTAAGGGTTGCTGGGGCGGTGGAGAAGTCTTTATAATAGTTCTCAATGGTGACATTTCGTGTGGGTACTCAGTAGTAATGTTTGGAAGAACTGAACGAGTTGACTGGTCAGAGGGCTAAAATGATTGCAAAATGGGCGTTTATAGACTGTTTTTAGTCCAATATATACATTGTATGTAAGTTTATGTCCCTTTTAAACATGTTTTGTCTCTTTGTTTTGCTACGCTGGGTTTGGCGATATAAGCTACACCTCTCCCGGGACGCATTTCAAACTATCGAAGTGGAGTGTTTTACATTCTTTCCTGAAGTTTAAGTTGGTTTAGAGTTTTCGGACTTTGGTTAACGCCACGGCCTACTTTACGTTTTGTCACTTTGTACCACCTTTTCAAATTGACATTTAACATTATGCGGGTATTTGGAGGTGGTTGTGACAAAGCGCTTTAGCAGTAAACAAAGCCACTAGGTGAACGCATATTTAAGGAGGATATCATTTTTTTGCTTATAATAGTAGGCTGTATGTGGTCCATTAGCATCCGTAATAAAATTTAATAAAGACCTCAGCATGCAGCAGTACAACAGAAATGCTCTAGGCATCGAGGAGCATGTTAGCAGTAATGACAGCTGGCTTTAGGCTAGCCAAGGTAAAAGTGCTCAAAAAGGGAGCAAAACATGTATTAATTGATATTTTAAAAGATGACCCTGTAAGTTAGCTAAAAATCACATATGTGATAAATCTGTCTGTCCTTAGTGAAGACACAAAGTTGGCAGTTGGTCATTGCAGGAGATCGTGAAGTCGAGAAGGCTTTAGCGTCAAAAGTGAGTGTGTCAAATCAAAGTTGTGGCAGAGCTTTCAAATAGAAAAGCCTTGCACTGTTTCTTCATCAGTTTTAAAAACTAAGTCTCAAGATTTAAAGTTGGTAAAAAATGGTTAAAAATACCTTGAAATTCAGGCATTTACTATGTCCTAATGCATTCAAAACGGCCAAAGGGGGTTGAAAGTCGCAAAGAGGTTTTTAGTTAACGTTTGTCCCTGAGATTTGTGATAAAGCCTACATTTACTTCAAAAGCCAAATATAAAGCGGGAAATGTATAGGAGACACAACTTGTACAGAGAAATGGAAACGAAACCATTTTGATGCCTATGGGCGCCATAGATTGCTTAAAACCTGCCAAAGTATGTTTTAATAATTCATCAAATATGTAAGTTTTCGATAAAAGGAATTTATTTATGCGCCGGAGATTGCGATTTTGGTAGCTAAGATTTACTGTTTAACTACTTAAGCTTTTAAGTGATAGGAAAAAGGCGAGGGTGTCATGGCATTTAATGTAAGTGAAACGGCACAACTCGATACCCTCGATCACTGTATTTGCATAATCAACATCGTTTCAGCGACTGATCCTCTCATATTGTGTCAACCAGTTGATACGAAATGCCTAGAACTGCTGAAAGTGATCTGAAAGACAAAACCGTGAGGCGGCGATGGGATTTAATGCTTGTGGAATGGTGCGATAGCGTTGGCGCCACGAAGCGATGCAGTAGAGAAGTGGTGTGAAGTTAAGAGAAACGAGAACAGGTACTGTGTAACCGTACTTGCCTAATAGCAATAATCTCATGATCTCGGGTTCGTAAGGCTGTGTGACGCTTTGGGTTAGGTAGGGAGGATCACAATTTGAAGTGAGCATTTTGAATTTGGTTACAATGAGAGAATAAATCTTGCACAAGAGATGAATGTGGAATTTTAACGTACGCTCACGTGCTGACGCAATCTCAAATCCTTCTGCACCTTCTGCTTAGGCAGAGATTGTGATCGCCCCTGCAAAGGGAGAACTGCTTGTTGAAAGGTGTTAGCAGGGATGTAGGTAATCCAAGCACACCACGTTTATGCGGGCCATATAGTTAACCAATCAAGCTAATTTGATGAGGTAGTCTGTTTAGATTCCATCCTCGTCAAGAGAAGACGTCTCCAGGGTTGAAAGCAATATTCAGGTCGCCTTTTATAAACACCGTAGTTTCTATTCACCCGGGCGTTAGTGAGGCTAAGTGGAGACAACGTTAATTTGTACCAATGCTCACAAGGCGGTTAATGAGAGGGAGAGGAGAAGGGATTTGTGAGGGTGTGATGAGCATTGAAACTTACCGGGGTCTTTACAACTTGAACTTTGATGGGATTCTTTTTAAACACAATAAAGTAGCACATGAAGAGAACAAGAATGCAAGAGTGAGTAAAAGCTTCTTCTTTCACCGAATAGGTAGGAGCCAGACTCACCCCCTCACACATTTCCAGAAGCCTTTGTATACGTCTGTCAGCCCGTGGCGATCTTAACTAAAACAAATAATGCCTTGGTTGTTTACTTGTAAATTTACACTCACTTTGTATTGTATTTTTTTTTATAAAATCCGAAAACTCGTTGTTGCATGAACTAAATTGGCATTAACTGCTTTGTACACATCCCTTAACTTCCACCACTGTGGGACATCTGTGGCAATCTTTACAAAACTGCTTCCTTTTGCTAGACCGCACGCTGTCATGCTATTGGAGTTGAATTTTTCATGCACTTTAGCATCAATCTTTAAGAATTTTGACGCCATTATAGACAATGCAACCTATGGCCTTGGATTTTGCCCTGATAAAATATAATATGGAGACTTGTTAAAAGTTTTTAAGCGTTTCCATTGTACTGTAAGGAACATGGGATTAGAGAAAAGCAGTTATGACCAAAGAAGAAACACTTTATTTTGTTATAAGTCGAAAGAGCGAAGAGGTCAGCAAATGGAGGTGCTGAGAGGCAGAAATTCAAAATGGCCAAAAGCCAGAATGATCCCAGCAGCCATGGCTTACTTGATGGCAGGGGTAGGGACAACTGGGCATGCAGTAGATCATTGGCATGCAATGGCATGGATGTAACCTCCTCTCAGGTGTCCTGCTTCGCTCACGAGTAGCCACCTTTTCTGGTTCTACTGAAATTAAATAAGTAGCTAAAATTTACCTTGAATTTACAAATAGCTATCGATTTAACCAAATACTTACTAGTCACTTACATTGTTTTTAAGTATTAGAATACCAAAACAAAATTCCTCACTTTGCCGCGCAAACTTAACACCACTAGTTTTCATTGACTACTACATATGGGCAACTATAAAACGAAGATCCAACTAAATACATTTAAGCATCAGGCTCTGGCTGATGGTGTGGGCGTAATTGTACCAAGCATCATCGTGCAGTACTTTAGCCAGGCCTGTGATGTTGCAGCCTCGCCGAGAACCCTAAGAATGCGAGCTCCCTTGATCCTTCAATTTAGTCAAAAGGTTTAAGCAGGTGCATAGATTAAAGGTACCATCCCTGGTAGGAATTTTATGTACTCTGTTTAGTACAAGGTAAAAAGGACCTTTGACACTTTCCAGACAGTCGTATTTGTCATTTCCATTCGATGTTTAACTACAGTTAAACCCTGAAGAAGGAAAAAAGTATTTACATGGCTAACTCAATTAGGTTTTCAAAGCTATGCATTGCTTTCTCGCACAAGGTCAGTAGGTTTATGTTGAATGCGGAGAGCAGGGAGAAACATCTTGACGACACCTGATTACTCTATTCTATCACCTCTTCCCCTTACTCTCTCACTCTCAACCGCCCTCCCACAAATGAGGATGTGTTAAGACTAGCAAAACGCATGAGAATAGAATGAGGAATATTTACAGTTAAGAAATGCGTTTAAGGCTGAACTAATTAGGTTGGGAAAGTGGGTGGTGAGAAAATGTAACCTGCTAATGACAGACCGTCAGTAGTGAGGAAGGTAAAACTTACAGTTCTGCTAACACCTCTGCATAATCGGATTTGCATGGCTTGGTGGTGGCTCGAAACGACTATTAACTGGTCCAGTGACCACTCGCGGCAAAAAAATAAACCACCTCCACAACCTTTTCCAAGTGAAGCTAAACTGACTGCTCTATGAAGGAGGCGAGGGGGGAGGAGAGACTGCATGGTATGCATCACTAAAGAATGCATTCCCAAGTAGGCTACCTAACCTTATTAACTAACCAGGCACATGGACACTCTCTTGACAACAGACCAAATAATGCGTAGCACAGAGGCCAACATAGACTTATTTAGAAGCCACCCTATCCGGAACTTGAGGATACAGAAAGTGGGCGTGGAGGAGAATGTTGACCGCCTCATGTAGAAGGAGTAAAAGAAAGCAGCACTCTCCAATATCCTGCGTCTGTTGCTCTATCATTAAGCCAAGCAAAAGCGTAACTTTCAGTTTGATGAGTAGAAATGTCTTTGAAACAGCCCTTTTTAAAGAGTGGTGAGGGATTGACACGTGACTACGATGTGAAGCTAGTCAATGTACAGATTTTAGAGATGTCTGAACACTGTCCCGCTGGGGATGACATAAATACTTTTTGAATGTCCTGCACTGACTATACGACCAGGGAAACAGACTATTGCGGATTTGTTCTTTGAGGCTGACCAAAACGTCAGTCATGCATGCGTGTTTCCCAAAACCAACTAAATTGAGGTTATTGTCAAGCCGAATGGCAGGCATTTCCTCATTATGATTTTAGGCCTATTTGAGACTGACTCCGAGGTTTTCGGTGGACAAAAATAAGAAAAAGGTTTGCGAAGGATAATAGCAGTGTCGAAGGTGGACCGCCTTTGCGGATGCAGTCGAATACAGGAGCTCGAAATATGGTAGGTTACATTAAACGTCTTTAGGTTGGTAGATAAAGCCTCAGAAAGAGAAGTTTGGGCATGCGTGTCTGTGTGCCATCACAACAGTAGCGATTGGAAGAATGAACTTGAAGACGCAACTCAAAGTAGACAGAGGGACGACTTAAAGCCAGTTATAAGATCTGTGTTGTTGCAGGTTGCAGTGCAGCTTACCCGCACTCTACCTGAGGTGATGCATCTCGCCGATTCATCGTTTTGCGTGTAAAGTACAAATAGGCTTAATTCTGTTGGAAGTTAGGCTTCCCCAATCCGCAGATCTCTCCTGTTCTCAATACTGACGGCGTAGGTCTACGCACCCAACGGTAGAGACTACTCAGCATCATTAGTTTTGATTGCCCTTCCTCTTCCACCCGTCTACTAATGTCGCCCACTCAACTTACGAGTGTTGTGAAAATGTGCTTGAACTAATTTTTCAAAATAGATGGTGAGCACGTGGATGTTGGCGGAAGTTGTTGCCAAAAGCTCAAAAGTTTGTCTTCCATTTTGAAGAGGTCTGCATGATTACTCGCAATACCGATAGGAGCAATTAAGACCACAATTTTGTACCTGGCATCGGCAGCGTCTGCGCTGTCTCAATGCTGTAGGGCTTTGGACGAGGCTGCACAGGTCTCAGGACAGCGGACTGCAGTTGCTCCACAGTGGGCGGAGGTGGAAGTTGAGTTGGTGTAACACTGGACAATGGACCGGTGGATGTCGACAGTGGCCCAGGTCCCGCGCTCTTCAATGGCTTTGAGCGCGGCGATTTGGATTGTGGGGGTGAAGGAGACCTGGACTTCTTCTTGCCTTTCCCGTCCTTCGATGGGGACTCCGTATGTTCTAATTAAAGCATAGAAGCATCATAGATTCTTTCAAACTAAACATCTGTGGCTCAAATTCAGACTATTAGTAGGCAAATTTACTTCAAACCAAGACTAACACTTTATATTGGAGAAGAAGGCTTTAAATTTCTACCTAATTTGCCTGTGTTTTACGGACGACAGCAATGTGCTGTCACCTATCACTAACATTGCAGTTAGCTTTTTAAGGTTCACTAACTTTAAGCACCTAGCAAGGGACAAATGGAAAGCCTCCCTCTTGAAGGAGGGAGGAGCCAAGTGTTGCTGCGCTTCGACCTCCAATCAGAGGTCTATTTCGCTCAGCGGCTATAATGACGTATCTCACTGAGTAAAAGAAAAAATAATGTGATGTGATGCCTCTACTGGAGGATGATAGACATTGATGACACTCATGATCCGTATTTTTTAATTAATTGGAGTAAACAAGTTACAATGTGATAAGAGAACGCTGTTGAGGTACATTGAAAGCAAAATTGGATTACGAATCGAGAGGGACTTGGGCGTCATAAACCCCAAAACTATTGACGTGTTCGCCAACTCCAATATCAACATGATGAAAAACAAGGCTTGTTTAGTTAATAAATCGCGTTTGAGAGTCAGAACACTCTATCTGATCTCGTGACCTGGGCTGTGATGTTGACCTCCAAGAGGTTAAAAGTAGAAGTCCCGTGAACATTGGACACCTCACGCATATTTACAACCTTCATCAAGTGGCCCATGAAGGCTTACAATACCACTACTTTGTAAGGCCTTTGGGCCTTGTTGATCAGAGGGCAACTCCTCCCAATTCTCCGACCAGAAACCCAAAGACTAAAAGCACAGTGTTAAAATTACACAGTCGACCACTGAGCCACCAAAATGTCATAGAGGAGTCATGATGATGCTCAAGTTGTATCCACTTCACTCGAAACCTAAGAAAACGCCTTTCAAAGCAAACCTGCTTCCCACATTCACATAATGAAGGGAGTCGCATGGCAACGGTGGGTTCACATGCGAGGCTTAACCTCCAGCATCACGAGATCGCGAAGCAGACGTCGGGAGAGGCATAAGAAAGCTTATCGTATTAATTTATCAACGCTGCATTTGTAGTGGGCTGTAGAGGCATTTGCCCTTCTTCACTAAACCTCTTTTCATGAGATCCACCTTCACAGTTTAGCCTTTAAGATGTCAGATTACCCTTTCCTGCAATGCTTTTGTAGTTGATAGGGTTTTCCTTTTGACAATTTGAAAGGATTGAGGAAAGTGGATGCAAGTGTTTACCTGGGGCTAAGAATGAGTCGTGGCATGACCTTTGACATTAAATCACGTGTTGACATGCCCACTTGGTGTGCGCACGTCAAGGCTAACTTCGGTGCACTTAATGGCATCTCCATCACTCACCCCTTTCATGAGGTTTGGCCTTTTTCGGAGTTTTGGAGCCTAAAATAACCCCAAAATAGCAAAGTTGCATAAAAAAGAACATTGGCAAGGCTTCACCGAGGAAAGGTGCATTGCTTACGTTTCTTGGAATTCTTTCTCTTGGACTGTGAGCGCCGAGGCCTGTAGGGGTCGTAGGGTTCACGCGGCAACCGGTAATACGGCCTCACCTAAAGGTGACAAATCAAGTGGTCATGCACACTCCATTCCATCTAGCAGAAAACAACAAGCTGACACTGCCACAAGACGAGGTCTGTTTGACACCTCAGTTTTCGGATGATTCCATAAAATTGGGGACACCCTCGGTCTTGAGTATAGTAAATGGTGGTATCGAAATTATCCATTTTGGTTGGGACGCTTTCAAGGGAATAGAAGATTGTTGGGTATTGTTTTAGGTCAAAATTTCGTTGCTTGACAAGCATGAAGTTTTGGATCGATGTGCGCAAGACAAAGTGGACTCAGCTTGTTTTGCAAAGCAAGTAATGAAGGAGGATGATCGCAGTGTTTTTATCAATGTAATTATGTTGCTTTGAGTATTAGTCTTTCGGTCCAGTAGCATCTCAGTTCGTCGGAAATGACCTTTTTAAAAAGCGAACTTCCATGGCGGTTGATGTTGTTTGGGGATGTGCGTGCGCGATGGTGCGATTCACATCAAATGATGAGCATAAAAGCGCTTGGGTCACCGGTTTGATTCAATTATTTGGTCTAATTAGGTCTCCTCCGCTTATTCACTGCGGCTACAGAGGAGGGCCTGTGGAGGTGCAGAGCTTAGAGGCAAGACACAGTCACATTAAGATGTGATATTTAATTAAATTCACGTCTTAAAGCATCTCTTAATCACCTGTGAATTTTCTCACTCTCACAACCACCGACTTTGAGGTTTAACCAACTAGTTGGGCATCGAAAAGTAATTAAGTAATTACTTTTTTGAGTGTGGGACATTTAAAAATGCATTTGTCCCTATGCTCGGACAGCTGACTGTCAGCAAAGGTTGTCACTCACCTACATGTTGTAAATTCCATCCAAAGGGCAGCAAATGTGAGGCACGGGTTAGTCTTACCGTGGGGAATGGTTCCGGGCAGAGCAGGGGCGTTTGACAGGGAGCAAATGGCGGCATCGAAGGTGGGACGGGATTCGGCGGACACTTGGGTGTAACATCTACAAGTTCGCCCAATGCACAGCACTATGACGGGAAATCATTCCAAGCAAAGCAAAATCCTCCCTTTTTTCAGTTATTTTAAATTTGGCCAATTTCGGTACAAGACCAAAATGCGATATTTAGGTGTACAAAAGAGGTATTACTTTAAAGCATCCCTTGCACTAAACCATTGACAGTGGTGTCACAATCTTGTCGCCAGTGTGTCACTTTCGAGTAGGCGGGAGATGATGTGTTCCTTTTTGCAAGGACAAGAGGGTGCAGGGTGCTCCCTTACCCAATAAATAAAAAATCAAGTAACCGCAAAGGGATGGAGGGAGGGAGGAGAGAACTTACAGTACGATAAGATTTGCATCCTAGTGTGAAATCTACCAGTTTTGTCCCTAATAAATAGCCCCTAGCTCATGAATCACGCCATGCGAACTACCCTCGACGCTCATTACATGATTCGTGGGAAAGAAACACAGAAGGTGACCTCCAACCCTATCGCATGCATCAAACGTACCTTTTCACCCGTAGCAGGGTGAAAATTGTACAGTGAAATGAGTGCTGAGGCTTAAAGAAGGATTAGCCCAACACCCAACTTTTTGCTAGCAAATTGGTGCTTAACTTACCTGTACACGTCACTGTAAGTGGACCCTCAAAGTTGGAGACAATGATTTTGGTCACACACTCTTCCGGCTTTGTCTCTTAAAAGGCAAAAGAGTTTGCGTTAGTGAGGAGTTGGACCCTAAAAAGGAAGAGGAGCCACTATAACCACCTTTCAAGGTGGCAATGATATGTTATTTGTGGTGGTTAAAGCGTCGTGAGGGGAGTTGAGGGGAGGCGAGGGGTTTGGCCTTACTGGTTCCGGCATTCGCTGGCCGAGGTTGACTTGCTTGAATGAGCGGAGAATATTTTAAACTCTCACAATCGTACGAAAACTTAGAAGAAAAAGTTATCTCGTACAATTTACATTGTTCTAATTATATGAAATATTTGCATAAGATGGAATCATTGAGTTGAGCAAATCTGCATTAGCACCTCTACAAAACTACAACTAGTTCGAATAGGGAGCGATAAAAACTACGATGCGTCCACAAGGCTACGCCAAATTAGGGTCTTAAAACAAGAAGTTGTCTAGCGTTCGCCAAATGAGCGATTAGTGAGAGACCAGTTGACAGGTGACTTTCCAGTCAAATGTGTCAAAGGCCTACCGGTTTGCGGGGGTGCGACGCACTGATTGCACCCCATCGGCGGCGGTTGCGGTGGTTGCTGTAACGATTGCTGAGTCTGTGGCTGACTTACACCGAGGTTCTTTTTTTGCAAAAAAAAACCAAAGTGGTTAACTATAAAAATTCCTTTCACATGCGATAACTTTATTATCCAAAGTGGTTTAAAAGGAGCTCTGGAGAAGGGTACGGATTGGAGTCACTCATGGCAAGTTTTGTTGGTCCGCCCTTCGAAGCTGAGGGGTTAGTTGGCGTCAACAATAAAAATGAGGCTGTAAAGTCGACATGTTGAAAGAGCTTGCGCATCACTTACAGCAGCCATTGAGACTGGCATGTAGGCTTTGAAGGGCGCATTGGAGTTTGTTGACGGCAGAAGGGCCAGATTGTACCTTAAAACAGGTATGTTTTTGATAATAAAAAAAAACAGAAAATTAGGTTTGTCTGAAAAAAATCCCCCTTTGAGGTTGTTTGTGTAACGGTGTTAGCATTAGTTTACCATTGTTGTTCCGGTTTTCCATTGTTTTCACTAAAAGGAAAATATTTGTTGTCTCCACAAGGATGTTTTAAGTTGTAACTATTTTGGAGGCGTGGAGGGTGTAGCCTTTGTTTGGACTCAGAATGGAAATGATAACTCTAAGACAACCCAAGATGCCTCCTTCCCTCCTTCTCCTCCACACCTTTGAGTGGTTCCTTTTCAAAAAGGCCAAGGAGGTGTTGTGAGGATGAAAAAACTCAACCAAGAAGACGTCGGACACTCACCATGTCTCCGGCAATATCGTGGCAGGAACGCCTAAGGGTAAAAAAATACGACAAATGTTTTGGACATCTGAGCAGTGCATTGCCCAGGGCGGTAAAAAGGTTTCAACAAAATGTCTATATTTTATGGGAGGGGACTGGACGAATGTAAAGCCGAGACTGTGGGCAAAACTTACTCCTGTATTGCATGGTGTTTGCAACTTGGACGTTGGCCATCTAGTGAGCAGGTTTGAGGTAACTCCTAGGCATGTCAAAGAAAGTACAAGTCTCAGTACTTCGTAGGTCAGTCATGTAAGAAGATGGTAGAAGTGTTTATAATCAAAATCTGAAAGTGGATTTTTTTTTCGTGTTAAAATTGCGTGCATCGACAGTCCATTCCTGACAAAGTGGCGTGTGCAGACCTTCAAGGCATTCCACCTACTGAGGCTACCAGCGAGGACACCCTCACACCGGGCCAAATTTGTCAGCAAAGCCCAAGTGTGGGTGAAGAAAGTCAGCACGTCCAGCTGCACAATGGTGTGTCTAAATCCAAACAAACTGTCTTCCACCGGTGGGCTTGCAAAAGGGCATACAAACGGAGGGACGAGCTACTTTCGTATGCATTAGCAAAACGGTCACAACACAGTCGCTTCAGTGGTTTGAGGCTCACCAGGAAGGCCGTCTAAAGAGCATCACTGGAATATTCATTCCAACCAACGACTGCGACACAAAAGCGTGCACACGGCAGGAGAAAAAAGTCTTGTGACAATTTGCATGTCTTTCAAGCACCTTGCCCAAATTGCTTTCTATTGTCTTTTTCGTTAACAAGATATGGTTAAAGAAACTTATGGCGACTAAAAAAAAATTGGATTTGGTGTGAACGTCTAAGGACGTGGGGGAAGCCTTTTGGACACCAATGAAACCATTTTGACTGTGACAGTCCTTGAAACTCTTTCCTCGCTGTCATAACTGACAGTCCACTCACCCTCCAGTGCTTCAACTTAATTACCTTGAATGTGCACTTCTTGTCCTGAGAGGCCTCATAATTTCATGCAATGCCAAGTGTCATGCTTTTCTTAGCTTTATGAGGCAGCTACTCGAGAAGACCGCAAACTGCCGCAGTACTCAGAAAGCGCATCCAGTCATTCCCTCTCATAAAAAGTGCTTCACTCGACTCAAACATTTTTTGTAAAATAGACCTCCAATGTAACTACACAAAGTATCAGTTCGACTAAAATATGATGGTTCAGATTGTTCGGGCCTTCCTGATGATCAGTTTTTGGTTACCAGTGAATTCGAGGATGCAGTTGTCGTAAATTGCCAAATCTGCAAAAAATTCACACGATTCAGCAAAGGCAAAATGAGCCTCCTAAAATGATTTTTCTTTTCTTTTCAATATGAAAACCGGGCTCCGTATTATTGAGAAGGTAAGTTTAATTGTCCTACAACACCTGTCGCCGAAGGAGAGGAGAGGAGAATAAAAGCGGACCGGAAAACACACAGAAGCCACAAGCAAGACTAAATGAACCCGAGGCAAGGGGCGAGCACGAACGGGCCACCAACCCAAGCAGAAATGAGGCAAATCCCCGTTGGGAGTGGTGAAGGTAGTGCACTCATTCACTTTGTGCCAGTTGGAGAGAGGTGCTATTGCGTCAGAGAGTGATTAGCGAGTAATTAGGCGGTGAAGAGATGGTTGATCGTTAGTCGTGATTCAATTAACCCCCGACTGCATGGTTATTGGCACCTTGGGTTTTCTGTGGTACCAGGAGGTCCTCCTAATTCTCGCAAAATGAGGCAATTTTTTGGATGATATGGACACTAACAACTTGTCTTCTGTCGTCACCAAGAGGTATAAAAATAAGTTACACTCAAATGGGATAATATATGTGCAAGGCAATTTTATATTCCAGGAATTAAAGCCTCAACAATTGACACGAAGAAGCACGATAATTATTTTGGGGAATCAGAGAACCGCATTACTGTATGGACAGTGTCAGTATAGCTCTTCATCATTGCGAACAAATTGGAGAAAATAAAAAAGAATAAGGTAGGCATAAAATGATAAGAAGTGCGCAGTTTTTGAAATAAAGCATGATCTTAGAGTGGGGCGACAGCAGTGCCTACGAATGAGGATAGACTTACCGAGAGGGAGGTGGACTTACCAGAGCTTGAATATTCCAACAACCGAGAAGGCTCCAGACGTGTGTGTTTGTGTGTAGTGCACAGTTCGTTGGAGTCAGGCGATTGCGGCGGAACGCGAATCCGTCAGGTTAGACACGAGCTCCTGCGCCCCTCCACGCACACACACACGCACGCATGCATGTAGGTGAGCGCACACGTACGCACGCACCTGCGCGTGCTAGCTTTCACGCACGTCCGCACGAAGGCAAGCACGCAGTGGTAGCGGCGATTGCATCAAGGGCGCCTCGCAAGTGCCGCAATGTATAAACCAACTCTCTTGACCAATTTTTTTCATCTTTTTCCTTTTTTCACATACAAGCACATACTCGCATGGATTACTTGCTTCGAGTCCCTTACCACTGTCCTACCTTTACGCATGCTTTTAAAAATTTCCCACTTTTCATCAGTATGCTCCATTTGCTAATACAAAAGTTTTGAAACGGCAATTTGAGCTTACAATCTAATAAAGCCCCAACTTACTGCAATAAGGTTTGGTTCAACAAAAATCGAGGAATTCGAAACAAGTTATCTGTAAAAGCCATCCAATTATGTACAACTTCCAAACTAGAACTGGACTTCAGATAGAGTAGTACGTACCTCAACTTTCATATTTCTTTAGGCCTTAAATCTCGTTTGTCATAACTGCAACTAAAGTCTTAATGTTTAAGCATTCAGCTACCAGCACCACTCGTTTGTGACGTCTTTACAATTTTGCTCCATTTCACATGCCACACTTGGATGACGGAGCCAATATTTGGAAAATAAATTAGCCTGAGAATATAAAGGGTAAAGGCTTTCTTCATTTATGTATCGACTTCTATAAAAGCGAGGCTCAGGTGGGAATCGCTTTAAAGTATGGAGAAAACTACACGATTCAGCTGCCAAATAGCCATTAAAAATATCCGTCAAGTCTGATGTTGGGCTTCTTGACTCTCTGGCATTACCGTAAACCATCGGTATTAACGTTAGAAATGAGTTCGGTGAGTGACTTGGTATCCAGAAAAAGTGTGTGCAACATACATTTTAGTCCACATAATCAAAACATCTACGAATTTTATTTTTCCTCTAACGCAGAGTAAAAATTATTAGCTTTTACTAATAAACACGACTTAAAAAGTGGACAAAGGATCAACTAGCACTTTACAAATCGCATGAACTTTTGAGACTGCCTTGTTTACTCTTTGAGATGCCATGTTTCGCGACCGCAATAACGGTATTCAGTGGATCTTTCTAGGGTCTTAAAGATTTGTCAAGTATAATAGTGGAAACACACGGACTGGCAGAGAAAGCCTGTGTCCATCTGAGCGTTTTTTTGACTATTTACCATACAAATCCCAATATTACTAAGTTGAAATTCGCGGTGTTCAACGTAAGGATTTGTATTTGTACTCAAAGAGTCTACATTGTCATTTGCATATCCTTCACTTCAACCAAGGCTAATCACGCAAACTCTAACGTGACTTAAGGTGTTGCAATCGTGCCTTCGTAATGCTTGCCCTGTACCTCAGTTCATAAAACTTTCATTAATAAAAATCAAAGGTTCATACCTCTATTATAAGTTATGGACTCTGCTACGTTTTGTTTAGCATAGCGAAGTTCCATCGCCTCGGTTTCAGCAGGCCAGACACTTGATTGCTGACCTTATTATATTGGAACACCTACTTTTGTTTAATAAGTAGCGTTTGTATAAAACCAGGACAAATACGCCACGGAAATCCAGTCTTCACAAAAGCACTACTAGACGCCAAACATTTTCCACCAAAAGGTAAGGGAAGCTGTCAATGGTCAATAGAAAAAAGAAGGATAGAATTACTTTCCTTGCCTTCGTTTGTATTCTTAGGTAACATTCATGCAAGGTGCAAAATCTCTTCTCAGCAGTTTTCATCGGACAAGCCCATTTACAAAAGATTCCGTAGTTGGCACGAATTTGGAGTTGAACCATCTAATTTCACTTACAGATAGCGCTTAAGAAGCTTCGGGAAAACTGTCTCGATAGCTTTATTCTTAAAACCCATTTGCCTTAAATGATTTTCGAAATCAGCAATTCCTAATGAAGTCTTTCGGTTTAGGTTGCGTAATTTGCAATAAACTGAGCTTATTAAAACTTCATATAGAGTGTTACGACCAGTAAAAATTAGCATAAGCAAAATAGAGCTTATTTACAGCCCATTGCCATAACAACGAGGTTCACTATCTGTTATTACCATTGGCTGTTATTGGAGAACGCATAAAACCATTGTCATTTTGAAGTAGGACAAACAGCACTATAGTTCTATCTTAAAAGTTAAAGGTCCCTTTGGTCTCTGTTTTATGAGGCCGTCTTTTTATTCCCATGGTTTCGGGCTCTTAATCAGTTCGTATCCACGCCTTCTTGTGTTTCCAGCCTCTTGTTGCAAAGGCAGCGTGGAAATCAAATCTATCAGGTCTTACGGATTTTCCTTGCGTAGATATGATGAAACCGGACTCGTTCCTTACCGACTCTCAACAGTACGAGGAAGCTTAATTAGCTGCAGCGGCGCAAATCCCTGCCTTCTGTAAAAATACTTTAACATGTAGATTTGCAACCACCTTTCTGTAGAAATTTAGACTCTGCAAGGCTAATCCAGAATCCAAAAGTGTTTATGTACATAGCTCATCTTTAGCCAGAAAGCCTTCTCTATTTTGGCAAGAAGATTTTATTAAAAAACTGCTTTGGCCTCCCTCGATGACTTAATGCAGCATGACTTTCGGTAGGAACTTTGTTTTGAAAACAGAGGGAGGAATAAAGTGAAGTGAGTAGCTTTACTCTCGTTGAAAAAAACTTTCAATTTCACAAATTATCTCACTGACTCTTTTCCATCAAGTTAGCAGCATACACTGATGTTTAAATTCTAGTGAAGCGAAATCTGTAGCTTAGTACTTAATTATTTATTACCGTACACAGTTTTCTATTGTGTACGAACTGTGAATCGTGTCCCACTACTTCTTTCGGAGGAAGACTTCGCGTTCCCATAAAAGTACACATCAAAATCCTATCTGATGAAACGACTGCCAAGTTAAGGAGCTCCTCTTTCAAAGCACTCGCATTTGTTGTTTGAACCCAAAGCAGTGTCGAAGCGAAAAGGCACCTGCTTACTATAAAATCAGGTTATATAAGTTATAGCGATTCAGGTTGTTATGGACAGTTGTTTGCGATACTGATTCAGGTAAAATACACAGAGGAAGAAACGCATTTTGCCTGGGTACAAGGAGGAGAAAGAAAGGAAAGCAATGTGGGTAATATGAAGTGAGAGGTGTGCTAGACGAAAAGTTGGTAGAAATAGCCGGAGTGAAATCATTAGTCATAAGGCGCGTAGTATCAATGCAATCCTCTGCGAAATCCGCCGCTCATTTGCGGCGGAGGCGGTGGTGGTGCTGGTGGCGGTGGTGGTGGAGGCTGTGATCTTGAATAAATCGGTCTCTCCGCTCTGCCGACCTCAAACCGACTTGAGAGAGTCGTTCGTTCAGGCGCTGTTACACCACCACAAGACATAGTGACATTGGCTTTGGATTGTGACAGCGATGATGGCGGTGACTGAGGCTGATTAAAGCCGCTCGATACGGGTCGGAGACTATGAAAATCGTCCTCGGACTCGCTGGACTCTCTTGACTGATTCATCTGCCTGCGACGCCGAGCAATTGCAGCTTTAAGGGTCTCTTCGAAGCTGTTCTCGATAGGTGCTTGCAGTGGTTTGGACTTAGGCGGTTCAGAAGCGAGCGAGGTGATGCCTTCAGTCTCCGAGGCATCCAGCTTTGCAAGCACAGAGGCCAGAAGGGGGTTAACAGTGCCGTTGGCATTGCAAAAGAGCGGAGGCGGAGAGGTCATAGAAGGTTTTGACTCCATAGGTTTCAGCTCATCTTGGAAGTCTGGAGTGTGTGTTGAACGGCGTAGACAACTCTTCTTGAAAATTGAGGTACCATTGAAATCTGCAGATGGACTGGGTGCTGAAGAAAAGCCTTTTTTCCTCTAAAAAAAACCAGGAATAGAGTTACTTCTGTTTTTGCACTCCTTCAGCTATTAGGTAGAAAGGCGTCTAACTCATGGACCTCCACCTTTGAAGACACACCAAATAAGTATTCCGTGCTTATGTGTCTAGATCATTAATAAAAACGCTTTAAGATTCATCAGTAATGCAAAACCCTAATGTTATTTGTGGGCTTCTAGTTTCCAGTGATTGGGTGATTTAGGCAATTACTCGGGTGGTTTTGAAGTGTCAGCCAAGGGTCGCACAACTGGAGGGTTTGTTTAACCTCCTCTGTGGAATGCACCTCTTACTCTACCGCATGTCCTTCTGGTCATGCCAATGGTGCCCCAGATCTTTAAGACGTTAGTAGTGCATATACCTATCCACACCACCTCAGCTCATTACGACCCAAGAAGGACTTGCGGCACTACTTCGTTTTCTTAATTCACTGAGTGCGAGTAAAATATACCTTATCTGAGCATTTTGTACAAGCCTACTCAGAATAGCCTGACAATGGCGCTTTTGCACTGGCCTCTGCAGAGTGCTCTTGTCACTTCCTGCAACTTGAAATCAAGCCAATAGGCTGCAAGTCAACCGTTCCTCTACTGGTACTTTAAACGAACAGCCTTTGCCTTTGTAAATCTATCGCGCCAATGGCTTGTTCGATGTGGCAAAAGTCCAAGTACATATCTCTCCTTGGCACTAAAAGACCAAGGTTCCAAGGAGCAGCGAGAGCTTAGAACTAAAAGTCATACATGGGCGGTGTAGTTGCCCCACCCACCAATTACCACTTGACCTGATTGCTGCTGACAGTGATTAGGGTAACTTCTGTCATAAATGAATGCCCCCTTGCAGCAACAGTGTGGATCTTTAAGAAATGGCAGCTGGCTTCGCCAGTTAACAAGTATTCGAGAATAAGGGATTTAAGAGGTGGGTAGACATTTGGCGTGACAAATACCCATCACATTACTACTGCCGAATTGAATAATTCCTGTTTATTTCTTAATATCAGGCCAACTGGATATGACTTAAGTAGAGCATTTAACTTCAGTTTTTTGGGGGATTTCCAGTGAAATGACAGAAGTGACAGCCACAGTACTACATTCGATAACTTTTTCAAACAAAATAGAGCTCTTCCATTAATAAACCGTAAAAGGACCAAATTTATCCTTTGAATCGTGGCACAAGCAGTCACATGTGCGAGTGCAATCGGACTCACCAAAGAGCTCAACGTTTTGGATTTCATTACGTAAAATAGAGGATTGAAGTGTTTGGTGACGATAACCGTTACGCCCATTCAACATGCCCTGCTCAACTCACCATCATTTTCCAGTTTAACTAACAAGCCTTAGTAATGGAAGACGGTACCATGCGCACACCCATTTGACCAACTGTGCATGTTTCCCATCAGTAGACTTAAAATTTTGAATCAGGTAGTCTCGTATTTGAAATCTCGCCCCAGTTGTCAATGTAACAGAAAGATGACCTTGGCAAAGTTCTGCTCTAAAATTAGACTTCGTTTTTATCGTGCTTTAGTAGATTCTCAGCCAATTTTTTTCCCAGTCCGGCTTGTTGAAATGGCAAATGAACCCCTTCACTGGACTCCCAAAGGCCATGAAAATGGCACATTTTGCAACCAAGGTGTAGCTACAATGTAAGGAAATGGTCTTATTTAAAAGCGATTTGTCAAGCTATTTTACGAGTCTTTATGTGCCTGTTTTTTGACAGCGTACTAAGAAATGGCTTTATGGGCTAAGAAGGGGGCGTTTTTGTTCATGAGTCCACGCAGTTCGTGCTTTAACAGACGTGAATGTGTAATTAAAGCGAACTTGAAAGGGAGTCGGCGAAGTGAATGGCACTGGTCATGTAAAGGTCTCAAAGGTTTTCCATTCAATGAGCAGAGGTAAAAAACTAATCTTTTGTCGAGTTTGCCAGTTCCAAGACTAACACATGTTCGGACCTCATGACCACTGCAAAGGTGGAAATCGAGAGATTTATGGCAAGAGCAGTGGATATCTGGATCATCAGCGGCTTAGTGATAGGAGAAAACAAATAGAGTAGCAGCAAAAGCCCGTATGTACTCAATTTAGTGATGATGGTAATGCGAATAAAAAGGGCGCTATGAAAAGAAATTAATGCAGAAATTATTTAGTATTGAAAATAAAAGTGGTCTAAACAACTAATACCGTCCTAACTGCTTAAAATGGCGCAGAACAAAAGTAAAAGCATGGACCTACTTGGGTATTGCAGGCTGGGGGAGGTGGCGGTGGTGGTGGGGGTGGCGGTGGTGGTGGTGATGAGACTGTAGGGATTCCTATGGAGCTCTGTGGAGCAGATCTTCTCAGTGTACTCTGGACGAAGAAGCAATATGAAAATATTGTGCCTGATCAAATGGAGTCGGGTACTTCATTGAAAAGATCTGCAATGCTTCCATCCTACCTCATTAATTATTGAATTTACCATATCGTAGGGATATCCGTTTCCGTTAGCGGGCTTCGGAGGTGAGATGACAAGGTACGGTTGTGGATTGTAAGCACTGTCACTTGTGCCGCCCTGGGAACAAGACCTTTGCCTGGAGTCGTTGGATCGCCGAATAGTCTAGTTAGAACAAGATTTGTATGAGATTTGATACCACATTAACGGTTTCCGTGGGTGCTGAGTTAATTCTACGCAGTTACTCTGCAAAGATCATCTTGAAAATTACTTTTTATCCAATAGAGTGGATCTTAAGCCCGTACTTAGAGTACTGCTCTTTCACTTAAATAGTCTCGAAGGCAGAAGACAAAAAAGATGGAACTTCACTAGCATTTGTAAAAGAATCCATAAGACTGCACAAAACTGCCTTTAACGTTATTCAACCCCATTGAAAATATGTGTTTTACTAAATTTTTGACTTAAATGTGAGCCTTATCTACTCATTTTAATTCAGTAGATCGCACAAAGCATTTGCATCACTAAACAGTGACAATGACATCAAACAGTAGCCATTGGGGTGACGTGAGTGAAAGATCAGCATTTGCAAAAATCCATTTGACCTCTTTAATTTGTGAATAAAAATAAGTAATGTGAAGCACGTGAGTATTGCAAATGGAATAAAGTTGTGTTGCCAATTCCAACTGAGGGTGATTCAAGGTTCCAAAGTGTTGTATTTGTGATGTCTCATACATCTAGTAGTTATAAATCGCATTTTTGCCACCTTTCACTCGGTTCAAAAGACGTGAATCTCTTCTTTTAGCTTTAAAATGAGCATTTAACAAAACTCGAAAGGTTCATACTTTCTCATCTCGCTTTTGCAATGTACGCAAAACACCTATGTTGTGCCATCTATGAAAGGTGACTTTCTAAATGCTGCAGTTGTGAATTCACCAAATTGTATGAATTAGGGTACGTTGGCTGGGAACGACAATATGAGCGGCTTTGAGTGTGTTTCTTGAAAACTGCAACTTCCTATCCATCTACAACTATTTTCCTTCTTCCCATTTTGGTCATTCAGCTGCTAGCGGAAATAAGGCATGATGAAGTGCACCCTGACCGGTGACTCGCCGAACAACGAGACTTGCAGCTCGGCTGATTGGATAATCGGCGGCATGGTTTTCCTCTATTTTTTTTCAACGCTTAGCAAATGCTCCGACCAATTCTCGCATTACTTGTTTACAGCGGTTGATAACCACGATGCTACTTAGAGTGACTTCTTTCTACTTCATTGCACATCGTTTAACCCTGTCGACCTTAAGGTCGCAGTTCTTTACATACAAGTAAAGGATGCATTTTGACTGCTTGAACAAACATTACAAGTGGGTGTTGGAACGCGGTCGAGAGAATCAACCCACCACATTTACCCACTCAGTACTGTTGACTCCTCACTTTTGTGCCTTCTTGACAGTCTTAGATTTCTGCCATCAGTTACCAACCCTTCTGATATTTTTGGAGTTCTCAGTCATGGAGCACTTACTCCGAAACCGTCAGGCTCCCTCGAGAATGTCCGCTGATCTTGCTGAGAGGCGCCGTTGACGAAGGAGCCGCTTTTGATCATCCGAGGTGACGTTGTGGTGCATGTGGGAGAGCTGTAGCCAACACCACCTCCTCCTCCTCCTCCTCTGCAGGATCGACGACCCAAAGTGTTGCATCCACTATCTACAGCGGCGAATTTTAGTTCTTAATTATGCTTTAAATTGGAATGCAATTTCAAAGTACCAATGTAGGTAAACCGCGTAAAGTAGCTGTGGAAGATGTTCCGTAGCCACCTTCACTCCTATCAACCCCACAAAATTTCGTTACGTTACGTGCTTTGGAACCACAGTCTCATTTTCATGGCTCAAGAGCCCTTCCGACTTGAGATTCTCCAGAAGTTGCTTTCGTTAGGCCATTGAACTAATGTATTCATAAAGACGATTTATTTTGCCCCAATGCAAGGCCAAGTACTTCGTGGGTTTTAACGTGGATTTGCACTTTAAGGGGAGAAATTAGTCGAACGGAAGCCCTATTTAGCTCCTTTTCACTAGCGTAGTTTTCTCCTTCTTAAACTAAAAAAATTTATTAGTTTGTAAACCGCGAAAATCTACATCCAAATAAAATCATTTTTGTATACCTCGCGAGAATTGAAACACATCTTCAGACGACGTTTGTCCCAACACACACAGCATTCGTTGTCATACATGAAAATTCCACCAAGAGGAGTAGAGTGTTTAAGCGTTGCTGCCAGTACTCCTTTTCCTGTCCACTTTAACCTCTCAACCCATTCTTCCGCTCACGGTACAACTGTCACTCACCACTCCCTGAGATAATCACATCTTTTATCATCCCTGAATGGCTGAGGGAAAGTGTCTGCGGCATTTCCGCCAGCCCCAAGCAGTCCCGAGTGCTACCAAGTGACAGCGGCCTGTGGTAGTGCAAGTTGTGGTCGAGCCTTTGTGTTTTAAACAATCCCATTGTGCAAAATCATAGGTTGTAATGTACAAATTTGAGATGTTTATTTTTAAAAATCTTATCCCGCCATAGAAAGACTTGTCAGCGCACTCTTTTTATTTATTCATTTGCACAGATCTTGTTGACCTCCAAAATGCACAGGAGAATGGTGAAACTTGGATCTCGGATTTGTGTGTGTCACGTAGCGAACTGATTCACGTTGTGTTGTTGTTCCCTCCAAATTGTGGCGACTTCTCATAGGGGACGGAGGGTTCACAGGCCGAATTGTTTTGCGTGTTCCACATGCACTTTCTTTTATCTCACCCTTCCCAAAATTTGTGTTCTTCTTGATGAGATTCTGCATTGTTCCATGGGGAAAGGACTCCATCAAGCTGACTTTGTACTTAAGTGCTACGCCTTAAGCTAGCAAAATTGACCTCATTTCCCCAAGACACACAAAAACAGAAATTGACTTCCGGATTTGAAAAAGTTGTTGCTCCGGTAGAGGGTGGATGAGAGTGCGAGGTCTGGCGATGGTCAGCCATAGATTAGCCGGGCTGAATAAAGTTGCCGTTTTCCCTCACTGGTTAGTGGCCTGACAAAAGGAGTGACTTAGAAGAACAGCTCATTCGTCTGTGAAGATTACTGGCATTTGTTAATGTAGGAGGTCTGCACTACCGCCTCCTTCGCCCATAAGTTAAGCCTTCCAGACACCACACTGAAGCATCTGTCAAAGTTGATTTGGTCAAGCGAAATGCTTAAGTAGTCACCATCAAGGCCATAAGCCCTTCCTGAACAGTATGCATACGTGGCACCCTTCCACGTCTGTGGTTGGAGAGGACAACAGAAGCATGTATTTTAAATTCCTATAATTTAGTCCCAAAATACACTTAAAGCCATGGTGAACAAAAAATATGACGAATACTTGGTCAAAAATGATGTAAAGAACCAATTGGACGCTTTCCATAAAGGCCTGATCGAGGTAGTAGACACAATCATCGATGAGGTCGGAAAACAAAAGACCATTGCTGTTTTGCTTCAAAAAGTGACAGGAAGACTCTCAGTGATGTTCCAACCATTTTTTTCCAGTTGTAAAGATATTTGTTTATTGTCAAAAAATGACAGCAAATAACCTTTTTTTGGCCCAAGCTTTGTGTTTATTAAATAATGACAACTTTAGCAATAAGCACCATCGTATATTTTAATGTCTGTTCCTCCGGAACCGTGGTTTTAACGCAATAAAAGACTTGGGTGTGGTAGGTTTGCTAACACTCCTCACCACCTTTTACTCGTCAAAATGTTTTAAATGGGTCTCGAGAGCGAAAGCTTTTTACCATTTTTTAGAATGCCGGAGGCTTGGTTTGGACCTTCGATCTCAGGCGAGGGCAGAGTGACAACTTTGAGGGAGAGCATGTCACCGGAGTCTCGAATGGCCTCCACTACTTCTTGATGCGAAAGTGTGGCCACGTTGATACCATTCACCTGGACGGGGACGGAGAAGAGGCAACACACTCCTTGAGACGTGAAAATGGACATTCATAAAGACTGAAATGAAGCTGATTGTGTAGGTGGGCAACGCATGCCCCACAATCAAAGTCACCTTTAACTGGCTCTTGAAAATGACTTTAAAACTGCAAAATTTTGCACTTTTAGCATTTCTACTTAAGATTTTGGGGAGGAGAAATGGCAGGATTGTCGAAGAGGTGAAGCTAAAAGTCATTTTGACAGGTAGGCAGTGAAATGAGGCTTTGGACTCGCAATCAAGAGGAAAGAGATTTGTGCCATTTGCTGGTCAGGCGTTACCTCGAGAATGAAGTCATCAGGCCGAAGGTTTGCACGAGAGGCGACATTATTCTCCTCCACGTGGCCCAAGTAGTGCAGCGAGGGTATCTCATCCGTGGGGACGAATATGCCTCCTGTTGCTATAAGTTTGCAAAAAGATGTCAGTTTCTAGGGGTGAGTCGGGTCCAAACAAAATTTTGAGTAATTTTTAAAGGTAGACGATGGTGCTCCATCCTTCTCATGTCTCAACAACTCAAAGAAGCAATGCGTACCTCTTTTACTTTGTACCACAAAGCCATAGCCACGAGAGCCTTTCTGGAGCACGGTTACTCTTGGCAGATATCGAGTGTCAACGTTTCTACAAAGGAAATTCGACAGTAAAACAATGACCTACTCTTCGTCCCCTGCACTCGACCGATCCCGCCTGATTAGTTCACAGCAGTTGACTAATCATTTTGGGCTCCTTTTCTTTGATCCTTACCTCCTTCCCGCCCTTATACTTCAAGAGTGATTAACAAACTCTGGGTCGTAAGGAATTCGTGATTGGAGAAATACAAGGTCTATTCTGCTTTTTTGTAACATTTCCCAACGCAATTGTCAAAACAGTGTCATATGTGGAGACCTACATTCGCTGGATTGAAGTTGAGTCTGAAGATGGCTACTCAAATTTCTTCCACCATTTTACAAAGTGGGAAGGCAATTTGAAGACTAGGAGCCTATTCACATGAAAAATGCTCGACGTTAGTCCAAGGTACCACTGGGCATCGCGTGATCCACCAAAATGCTGGTAAAATGTAGTGGATGGATGCGATGCTCTGCAGTGAGTGGATTTTAGAGTTGCCTAATCCACTTCATCCTCCGGTTTTGGTGGACTTTGGGACAGTAGAAAGTTGAGTTGAAGGTCTGATCCCACCACCTAGACGGTCATTTCTTCACTCCTCACAGCACCAACCGAAGACCCGATTATGTAACCATGTGTCAAGCAATGCTTTCGGAGACAACCCGTTTACTAAGACTTGAACATTTCACTATTGGAAAAAACAACGCACTTAACTTTTAAAGAGAACCGAAGAATTTGCTTCATTTGCTTGCAAAATGTCAAGGGAAGAACCAACTCACATATTTGTCAAAATTTCGTGTTGTCTCCCTATGACCGCTTTCATCATCAACCTCTATAGCAGCCAAACTGCCTCAAAGAAGTGGAAAAAGGGAGAATTTTTGACGGATCATGAACACGTTGCACAATTTCAACGTCCCTAAGCTTAACTACTCCACCTTTTACCACAACTAGCCATCGTGAGGTGATAGAAAGCACGAATGTGCGTCTTCGACATCCCCTTTGGGCGCCTGCCACTATCGTGCGACCCACACCTCGCACCCTCCTCCACCTGAGAGACGCGATATCCTCACAGACCTGGGAATTTGCGCCAAGGTCATGAGACAGAGTTGAAGGCAATAAACTTCACACTCATTCCATTATTGAAGTAAGGGGGACAGAGGCGGTAAAACGCGTGACCTCCGTGACCTTAGGCAGAACTACACAGCTTTCTCACTCATCATTGGGTCGCAGTGGCGTGAAAACAGCGGAATGATGATTGAATGTGCGGTTAAAAACTGTTTGGAGAGGAAACTAGTTCAGACAGACTGACAATTTAAGTCAACATCGTCTTGCCTCAAATCAGTATCGTTTTAGCTACTCAGAGAGCAACCTTAGGAAGCCATCGGTGTAATTGGTTCTTCAATCCATCTGTATCGTGAATTTTGGTTCAGGAAATATTTCATAAAAAGTCTTTCTCTTCTCATGGGATAGAGCAAACCTCAGTGCTCTTCTTCAAAGAGATTCTTGGACACCGGAAGGCTATTTAGATGCCATGATTCTGGGAATGTGAGTTTTAGTTTTTCATTTGAATAGGTGGATATGAATGCCACATCACTTCCGTAGGCGATAAAAGTAGATTTTATCTCGAGGGCAGCACCAGTGGTAGACAGTGGCCAGCATTTATCGCAACGAATCGCCCTGCGCTGTGTAACACCTCAGTCGTTTGGTTTTAGTTACGTGAACGTCCCGACACCTGCCTGTTCGAGAATTGTGACTTCTTTCAACTATCGATGGGATGGGAGTTGTAAAACAAATTCACCACTTTAAGCCTCATTTGTTCCTATTATCAGATCAGAATCTGAAGCCCTCAGCATGAGATTATGAATCTTATGAACACCGTGAGCTCTTGGCAAATCGAACCTTCATCCGTAAAGCTATTGAGGCCCCGTAAAAGCGTTGTACCGCCTCAACAAATCGTGCTCTCATCACAAATGCCGCCAGTGATTAAGCCTGAGGTGAAGGTGGACAGGTCATACAGGTAGGAACAGGCCATTGGAGCATGACTAAACGCCAGGGCTGCCATATTAGCCGGTTGAGGCCACCATCACCAATGCCACCAAGACACGCAGCTCACACCCACCTGTTGATGAATGCAAACATCTTCACTTTAAACCGGAAACCAGCATCCAACAGCAGCAGTGGCGGTATGCACAGGGCTCGCGTGTTAGCGATGTATCACATGAGGGAAATGAGGGCTTCTACCCGGGATCTGTCCCAATAACCATTGAGTTCAAGAGGTTTCGGCCACACACACACACACTAATGACAGCAGCACTTTTCTTTTTATGGTTGTCGGCCGCCTTTTTACTGCAGTCGTTGAGCAAACTTTTAATATGCAGTGTGAAACACTGTGATGCGGTGGAAGTTCCACCCTCCTGCTGCTGTGGCAATATGCTACAAAAGCAAGGCCCTGTTAGTCTTTACAATTACAAGCATGTTGTAGCATTCAAAAGTCCCTTAATTTAATACCAAATGGGTCAAAAATCCCACAACCAATTTTGAAGAACGTTTTGCCAGGGTGATTTGTGGATTTCCCATTCAACGCATTGCCTCGGTTCTCTCAAAAAGGCCTTCTATGTTCCATCAGTCAATAATATCTATTTAAAATGAACTATTCATAACTTCTCTCGCCATGAAAGTCCAATTTTTATGGCAGCCGTAAAGTTACAACTGGGTCCACTGAACAGGTAGAAGAATAGTTTTGCCGAGCCAAGGATTAGTTGGACCAAAAAAACCTAGCAGTACAAACAATTCACCGCTGTTACCTTTTCTTCAATCTATCAATGACGGCGATGGGAAGAAAACACTGGAAGGAACTATACGAAATCTCCGCCCTTCCCTTCAATGGAACAACAACTGTCAATCATCTCCTGTCTTGGGAAGACCAAGGCAATTTCTGGATCAAACGCTTATTTTCCTCTCTGTACCTCAAAAAAAGGAGACTGTTCACCTAACTGAGCATGAGTTTTGGGTTTTAAGAAAAGAGCTAGTCAACTTACAGTATACTGCCTCTTCCATCCACCTGTGCATTGCCTCGGGAGGTCGTTGAACAAAGCGTGCTCGTCTCCGAATAGCGGCCTAGGGGTTAAAGTAAAGGCGGCTCTGGTAAATTAGTTAAATTGTGCAGAATTCTGTGAAGTAATCTGGTGAGGCCATAAATGTGTCCGAGCTTTCACTTTTGGTTACATTTACACCAAACATGAATCAGTCTACTTAAAGTGCCAAGAAATCATCTTGACGCCATCATACAATAATGTAGAAAGTGGTTGCCTTATCAACCACTCAATCATGACTAACTATTCTAGCGTGAGCTCTCCTTTCAGGGCATTGTAGGAAGTGCCACTACGGGACCACCGACCAACCGACCGATCATCGTCGTCATCACCATACTTTCCGTGCACCTTCAACCTTTCATTCTATACTAGACGAAATCGTCTTCGAGGGGAAATAACAACCGTCTGAGGTTCCTGTGCCCCCTTAGCTAATGTCGTCACACACATTCAGAATTGCTCTTCCCCTGCCCTTGAAAGGCAATGACACCTTTACTTTACCTTCCATCCCACCCATAAATTAAGTGTTACAAAACTTCTACCCCAGCGCTTGAGATTATCTGACCCTTTGTGTTGAACGACTTGGCAGCCGTTTGCCTTAACGCATCACTGACAAAAGGTGGCTAATCGCACTACATTAGCAAGCGCCTTAATTCATAAGTGCTCCAGCAGTTGAATTATACGGGCCGCCTTATGCCTTACTAAAGCCTCGTCTCCGGTTTCACCTTAGTGCATTTGCGTGGTGATTTCTGACAGAATTGTCTGGTTGCAAAATAAGGAATGTAGTTACTGGATCTCCTCCAGTCCATGCAGATGGTTGACCCAATCGATCAGATGGATTTCGAAGGAACTACTTGACCACGAATTTCACTAATGCTCAACTGTTACATTACGGCGTAAGAGGAATGAACTTGGCTAAAAGTCAGCTATGATAAATTGCCAACACTGTGGCCCAGAGAGTTCACCGCTTCACTACAGTTATCAGCTGTCCGCCTTCTTCTGCCTCGCCAACATGATTCCCTTTTCCTCCACCAAACCTCTGTGACGTGGAGGTCCCAATGAGATGTCGATGCCAAATGCTAATCATAGCAACATCCACTTAATACGGCTAAACACTTTACAATGCCTCTTTATGACAAGTCTGCATGTGTTACTAAGGTGTCGACCCAGTCTAGACGTCATTTCTAGGAGGAACTATTCTTTCACATTCTTAACGTCCTGTACACAGTCCTGCACCAGTCGGTTCTTCATCAGCAATTCCCTATTGTGGCGCGTTGTGAACTTCTTTTCTATGGCAAATAAAAACAAGTTCTGTTTCGGCAGGCAGAAATGCGCCTCAACCAGTCTCACCGCCGCATGTCAACAGGAAGAGGAGTAACCAGACCGCCCGACGAAATGCTTCACTGCTATTTAGGCTAACAGCCGAAGTCCAACGAGTTCAGTCAACTCGGTTAAAGCGAGAGCCAAATGCCGTGGTTTGCATTGGAGTGGCACACTTTGATTTGAACAGTACGGGATTGTCGAATGAAAGTCACCAAAGGAACGCAGTTTTAACAAATAGAAACGCATTCTAAGTTGTGGCATAATAGCCATGCTACAGTGTTCGCAGTATGATGAAGAGGGTAGTCAATCATGGCATTTAAATCGCGATGTACTAGTAAAGTTTACGAAAGCATAGCCGTGCTTGAAATCCAGGTAAGCGGATTAAAACATTGGACATCCACCACCACTCCGTCAGAAAGTCATTAAACAGACTTCTGGCATCGAGACGAAGTGGAGAGTAAAAATCACTTTCGGTGAGGAGTACAAAACCCCAAAAGTCCTCCATCCCAACCACATGAGTGTAGGCAAGTGAGTGTGACGATTTTGCGCCTTTGAGGGAGAAAGTGCTGCGATTTCTAACCTCTTCCACTTCTAATAGTAATGACCATCCATTTGTGCTTCCACTTTGCTGCCAGAGGCGCGTGGAGGTGAACGCAAGGGTTCCCAGACCCCTGGTGAGATGGGAATCGTCCCAAAAAGTGGATGGGAAGTGATACCGGCACTGCAAGCAAAATCCGCCAACTCATCTCGTAGATCTATGTGTACATGAACAATTTTTTTACCACACAATGTGAGTAAACCCTTTTCCTTAATTGCATTTCAAGGCCTCTCTATTGTTAGTATGCAACAGAGCCTGCTGCCCTTTCTTTGCTTGAAACGCTGTTAGCAACTTTTCTGACTTTTTTGGCCGAAAAAAGGAGGTGAGTTGTAAAGTTCTCACATACTACGGTAAAGCGATGCGAGCTTCAGCATGCCAGACCATCAACATAACATGAGCCACTTGACGTTTCCAAAACGTCTGGATCTTGAGGCGATTTGGTAAACAAGGTATCAAGGTGGGGTAGGGAGGACCGGAAACCGCGGTGTGAAGTTAGCAGAGCGATGTGCCAAGTGGTCGTTGTTGTCAGTTCTGTAAAAGTGCTAATCTGATGAAAACGATGGAGTGCAGGCATGCCAGATGTAGGGGCCACTGCAGTCGTCTAGGCGGAGGAGAAGTCAAGGAGTCAAGGGAAAAATCGCATTCAATTTATCCAGGCGTTTACGACGCTTGGATTCAAAGAACTCACAGCTGCCATCCGTCCGTCAAACTGTGTGCCTCCATTTTGACGCATTTAAAGGTAAGGTTTTAGGCAACATCTTTCCTCCTCACTAACGTCCATTTCTCCCCATAAATGGCAGCACTTTAGGCCACTCTCACCGTGGCCTGTAAGCTCTGCAACTGTTCAAATCGTCCCTCTTAAATGCGGAGCGGATTAAAGGTCAAGTAATAGCATGCCATGGGCTTGAAACGGAAAGTTGCTTTGCTGTTTTACCAATTCCAGAAGTCTGTGGCAGACGACGTTTTGATGCTTTAAAGCACAATCCTTCTTCAATTGCGACATGCTGCCATAGTAAATGGCTCTAGGTTCCATTGTATTGATGGCGTTAGTGTCCCCTCGCAGTGAAGCGCAAACAATGCCCACAGT